GCAGGTTAGTACTTGGATGGGAAACAGCCTAGGAATACAAAGTGTTATAAGGTTATTCAGGGGGCTGTGGTTTAGGAGTCATCTACTTGTTGGAAGGTTGGTTGTTTCCTCCCTGGTTGCTCCAGTGTGCATGCCAAACTACCTTTGGGCAAGACATTGAACCCCAGCCTGAGATGTTCTTGATGTGTGTGAATGTCACATGAAAAGCATTTAGAAATAGAAAAACGTGCATATATGAATTTGTGTAAATGGGTGACTGAAAAATGTTGTATAAAGTGCTTTGAGTGCTCAAGGAGAGTAGAAAACCGCTATTTAAGCTTCAGCCCATTTAATAACTACAAGTCAGTATTACCTGATTTGAGATCAAGGCATTTTTATTTTGACAAATCCCAGTAAAAACATCTGTAACACATCTGCTTTGCTAAAACAATCAAATATGCATGTCATATCATAAAGTGGCTGGTGTGCTCCCTTTTACGTGCAAATGCCTTTTGCATACTGCATACTCTGCCCAGTCAGCTATGACTGCAGAGCAAACAGAGAAACAAACAAGTTAAGGCCACACATATGATGATAACATAACCATTGTTGATTCTCTTATCAGTGTTTTGACACTGGCCAGTGTGGTAAGGCTGCAGTTTTAGTCCAAAATCCTCATCTTGTACTATATCTTTCTGGTATGACTCACGCTTCACGCTTTCTTTATTGACGTTTCTCTGACAGCATGCGTTCCTGAGTGTGGCGACTTGTTCTATTCATGATTTTGACAGACTTTGCCAGTTTCAGAGACACACTCACCACTAATTCTATGAGCCCAGACTTCTGCTGCATCTCAATTCTCTGCTCTGCTGTGGCTTGTCCCAACAAACCAGCTATCGTGCTCCGACCGCTGTTTCCTTCTGTTGCCATGACAGCCCATATCTCAGTCAGTGGCAGGAAGCCGCACGGTTTATGAAATGAGTTTATCATGACAAAAACTATCTGTAAGAGCCGAACGCTGCATGTGGAGGCACAAAGGGTACGGATGTATGTGTGTGTGTGTGCCAGCTTTTATCTGTGTTTTGTCACACTGTGGCTTTTCTGTGTATAAGCATCTCAGGCTTGTGTGTACATGCATTCATGTGTTTGTACGTATGTTTGTACTGCTAAAAGGCTTGGCACAGAGCAGACCTTTTGTAGTTGGCAGCAGTGGGCACTCTGCCCAGCTTGTATGGCTTATGGATGTGAGTCAAAATTGCATTAGCCTCCAGCCAAAGAAAGGCTGCCCATCTTCCTGGTGTGAACCTTCAACAAATGTGCCAACGCTGACAGCATTAAACAGAAACTGATACCAGCATCAAATCTGTCTGACACGTCTCATGCTGTCAGCCTATCAATAATTACATTAATGCCACACAAAAGGAGGCAGGGAACCAAATGAAATAGCAGCATGGGGAAAACAAGCCTCAGAGGCCCATTTCACACTGCAGCAGCAGGCGATATGTCCTGATCTTGAAAGTTTAGTTGTAAAATATAGTAGAATGTAGGTGGTCAAAGTTTTGGTCACAGTTTCTGATATATATATTTAAAAAACCCCACCTTGCCTTCATTTTGAGCTCAAGCTAATGGCGCTGCTGTAAAATACCCACCAATTAAACAGAACACTGCATAAAGCAATAGTTCTGAATTTCAACTCAAACCCTCAGCTGAACATAATTAAAGCGCTATGTGAGAAATTGCACAATTAAAGGGGTGCCTTACAACCAGCGGCTAAAACGATGTTTGATTCTCATAACTTCAGTGATGGAGCCGGTGGAGCGAGAAAAGGAGGTGGAGAAATGAAGATTTCAGAAATGCATTAAATGTGTATTTTATCAAATTAGAAGTAGAAGCTCCTTGAAAAGTTGCCACGAGGCATGAATGGTGAATGACCAAGGCGCTTTCAAAAAGAATATTAAAAGGTAATTATGTTCACTTCTATTTCACATATTGGGAGTGGCCTCGGTACTAACGCAGTAGTTACAGAGCTTATAGGGCCTGTAGAAAAGACAACTGTTACAAAAGATGTCTGCGTGGTTTTTAATTTCACCTTTTTCCCATTTGGAGAAAAGAAGAAAGGCTTGAAGCATGAGTTTAATCCCGTTTTTAAAGAGGCCGCCGTAAATCCCGGGTTTTGATTACCCATGATTGATATTTGTAGTGGGCTGTCAGTAGTGTGGCTCCCAAGGAATGAGCTACAGAGACATGTGCATACATATTAACATTAAGTTAATTAACTGCCCGTGTGCGCACTTTTTATTTCCATATGTCCTCGTAGTTCCCCTACACACCTTATCGTAACTCACCCAACTCTACGCGCCTTTCTTCTGAACTCCTGATGGCTTTGTTCCTTTACTTTGCTTTCCTCTGACTCTCTTTTATTCTTTTGCTCCCACTGTACATGATTGTTTTCCGGTTAGCCTAAAGCGTAAATTTAATCAAAGCTTACTTTCATGCCAGCACCTCTTGTGACTTGGGGGGATTTTTAGGCCCACTTGCAGACGGAGTGCGATTAGTTGAGACAAGGTTGGTTAATGCTCCCTATCTGAATACTCCCGACAGGTCGAAAACAGCTTTTTATTTCTAATCGCACCTGCTGATGAAAGACAGTGGGGCTCATTCAACCATGATGCAATAGTGCTAAGGAAGGTATCAAAGCTGTAAAGTCTTTAATGTTTGCGCAAGCTTACAGTGTAAGTTGTTGATGTAGCAAGCTTTTAGGATTTGTTTTCCTAGAACACTAAAGTTAAATTAATATTAACATTAGTAGTAGAAGCCTGTTTTTATGCTGGTGCCCATTTTACAGTGTCAGAATCCATGATGTACAAGGATATATCCAGTGAGACATACCAAGAGTTGTCCTGATTGATGCACTCTCCTGAACTTCCTTGCCGTGTGCTCAGGGTCAACATTAGGGCACGTGTAGCTCAGACACACCTCAGGCAAAACTAGAATATAACTCCCTTTACTCTATGCAAGAATATCATTTCTCATGAAGATGGATTCCCTGTTTAAATCCTGTTCTGTGCATGGTAGGTGCATATTGACCATTGGGACCATTCTTAATTTCGTTGTTCTCATGACAATGACAATAAAGTTTCTGATTCTGATTCTGATATTGGTGCCACATTCTTCAAGAATACAGAAAAGTAGTGTTTAATGCCAAGCAGATGCAAGAAAGAAGGATTTGTATGATGACTTGTCAGAAAGATGCACGGATATTTAGAAACCAGTATATATGGAGAGGAAAATTTCACTTAGCTGCCACTCTTGGTTTTATAATTTGTTTCTGTAGATATTTCTTACAGAAGAGAATGAAATTCTGCTCATGGATAACTGGTTTAAATTGTTAAATGTACAACCCCCATTCCAAAAGAAGAAATGGGATGATGCGTTAAATGTAGGGGTGTCAAATTATCGCGTTAATTGCGATTAATTAATTACAATGCTATTTAGCGCGTTATGTTTTTTAATCTCGTTAATCTAATTTTTAATCTCTTGACGTCATTGATTTTGTATGAGAGTTGCTATGTTATAAAATCCGTTTTTATGTGCTGGGCTCCTTGTGCTTGACTTGTTGGGGGTGGAGTCACGTCGTGAGGTCAAGGTGAGAAGTGGGGATTAGCTTACAGTGTGGATATGGAGGCGCATCTGAGAGTTGTTGGCCCAATGAACGGGAAATTTGTATTTCATAAACGCCCCGACGGCACCATTGACAAAGGTAAAGTGGTCTGCCTAGAGTGTAAGAAGGAGTTTGCTTACCACCGAAGCAGCTCAAGTTTGGCCTATCACCTCAACGCAAAGCACCCAGCCGCGAGTGCAGCAACAGCTAGCAGTGAAGACGTTAGCAATATAGCAAGCCAGAGCAAAGCTTTTCGCCAAACAAAACTAGAGAATACCCCTCGTATGAGCAAGTCTGCGACCGACAGGCTGACTAATGTTATTGCCAAGTGGATAGCGATGAACTGTAGGCCGATAAATATAGTAGAGGACGAAGGATTGACAGAGGTGTTGCAAATTGCGTCCAATGACCTGTCATACAAGCCGCCGTGCAGGACTACAGTAACGACCAAAATCAGCAAAATGTACGACGGCGAAAAGAAAAACAAACTTGAGATTTTGGCGGAGGATTCTCCCAACTGTGTTGCTATAACCGGAGATCACTGGACCTCAGCTGGCAACCACAGCTATTTTGGGGTGACTGGACACTTTATTGATAGTGAGTGGAACCTCAACTCATTTGCACTGACCGTCATGAGAACAGAAACCAGGCACTTTGCTGATAAATGCGCCGAACAGTTCCTCAAGGTAGCAAATGACTGGGGTATTGAAAACAAGATATCCACCACTGGCACAGACAGCGCAGCAAACATGCTGGCTGCTATGAGAGCACTTCCATATGAGCACATCGCCTGCAATGCTCACATTCTCCAGAGGACCATCACGGTATGTCTCGATAGCAGTGGTTTTGTCGGTGTACTGGCAAAGTGCCGCAAGATTGTTGGTCATTTTAAACAAAGCCCTGCGAGTACCACAGAACTTAACCAACAACAAGTAGCACTCGGAAAGAAGAGCGATCAACTTATACAGGATGTACCCACCAGGTGGAACTCGACTCTCGCAATGGTCTCACGCCTCCTATGTAACCGAGAGGCTGTCCAGGCTACGTTGGACCAACAGAACCACAGGTTGGTCTTGCCAACCGAAGCTGAGTGGGCGAAACTGCAGAGGCTGGAGCTCCTGCTTGAACCATGCAAGTAAGTTCAAATAAACACCTTCCCATTTTAATTATATAAACTACTGTTACATGTGTAAAATCAAAATTAATGAACATAACAAGGAACTTTTAAGGACAATTAAATTGGAAATCAGTTACACTTTGATTTAAATGAATCCAGCTAGGTTTATTTAGCAAACCTCTCCACCTCTGCAGGTATGTGACAGAGCTGCTGGGTGGTGAGGCCTATGTCTCTTGCTCTGTAGTGCTGCCTGCTTTTCGCCATCTGTACCGTGTCATGGACATTACTGATGATGATCCTGCCTACGTGGTGAAGTTCAAGAATGCCTTCCAGAAGGATCTGGCAGCACGACGAGCTAATGGCAACGAGATATGGTTCGAGGTGGCCACAGCATTGGATCCACGGTTTAAGGATTTGAAATGTCTTCCAAGAGAAAAGAGGGAACAGGTAGGACAATAAGGTTAAGCTGGACTAATGAGTCCAATTCATTATCAAATCAAACTTTTATTTATTATATGGAACACAAAGTTCTTTACAAGATTAAATAAAATATAAAAAAAGCACTTAGTTTTAATCACAATCATTCATTCATTCATTCATTCAGGTGTGGACCATTCTGGAGAATATGCTCCAGGCAGCAGAGCCCAGAAGAGCAGATAGTCTCCAGCCCTCCACAGAGGATGATGGACCAGCTCAGAAGAAGAGGAGGAGCGAACTCCTTCTGGGGTCTGACTCTGACTCAGAAGATGGAATTGAGTCTGGAGAGCTGCAGCGCTACAGAGCAGAACCCAGCATCAGTATTGATGACTGTCCCCTGCAGTGGTGGTATGCTCACTCAGGAGTCTATGAAAAGCTGTCAGTCCTAGCACAAAAGTACCTGGCCTCCCCAGCTACCTCTGTACCCTGTGAGAGACTCTTTAGCCTTGCAGGCCACATAGTGCAAAAGAAAAGGGCAGCCTTGCTTCCAGAAAATGTTACCAGGCTGGTGTGTCTTAGCGACTGGCTGAGGAAGAAGAAATGAGACACATGTGGTCAGCATAGCTGCTGTGTCATTTGTAGCCTACTAGAATAGATTGCTTGATGTTCAGCACTTTTTTTTGTGATGGAAGAATACTTTGATGTGCTAACTTGCAGCACTGCAATGTCAGTTTTATTTTTCATTATCTGAAGCAGAGGAATTTCAGTGCTGTATTGCTCAGAAAAGAGCAACTCTGATGTGCTAACTTGCAGCACTTAATTTATTTGATTTTATTTGTATTTATTTTTCCACTTATTTTACAAAAGAATACAACAGTATGTAAATGGTTGCATCTGTTTAACGTTTGTTAAACAATAAATGAGTTTATAAAGTCACTTTCTTTGTTATATCAGTCTTTTGGTCTGCCACAATAAGTTGAGGGCTTTCCTCAGCTATTTTTAGGTGAGATTAAAAAAGAGATTAATTAGATCAATTAATTAAAAATCATAATTAATTAATCTCTATTTTTTTTTAATCTCTTGACAGCACTAGTTAAATGTAAATAAAAACAGAATACGATGATTTGAAAATCTCATAAGCCCATATTTTATCTATGATAGATTATGGAAAACATATAAAATGTTTTAACTGAGGCACTATTACTCTTCCATGTGAAATATTAGTTAATTTTGAATTTAATGGCAGCAACATGCCACAGAAATTGCGATGAGCCAAGAAAAAGCTGCATGGGTAAGTTGCATTAAAGAGAAACAGCTGGTGGAACATTTTGCAACTAATTTGGTTAATTAGCAATATGTCGGTAACATTATTGGGTATAAAAAGAGCATCTTAAAGAAGCAGAGTTTGTTAGAGGTACAGATGGGCAGAGGTTTACTAATGTGCAAAAAGCTGCATCTACAAATCGTGGAACAATTTCCTCAACCTAAAATTGCAAAGACTTTGAATATCTCGCCATTTACAGTACATTATTTCATCAAAAGTTTCTGAGAATCAGGAAAAATTCTCAATGGACATGGTCAAAATTAATATTGGAAGCCTGTGCTGTGATCTTTGGGCCCTCAGGCGGCACTGCATTAAAACAGGCGTAGCTCTGTCATGGAAATCACTGCATGGGTTTAAGAACACTTCCAGAAATCATTGTCTGTGAACTCAGTTCACCACACCATCCACAAATGCAGATTAAAGCTCTATCATACAAAGAAGAAGCCATATGTGAACATCATCCAGAAATACCACGATCTCCTTTCTGCCAAAGCTAATTTAAAATGGACTGAGCAAAACTGTGGTCAGATGAATCAAAATTTTGTTATTTCATTTGGAAAACATCAAACTAAAGAGAACATACACCATCTGGTGTGTTATCAGCGCTCAGTTTAAAAAGCCTGTGTCTCTGATGGTATGGGGGTGCATTAGTGCTGGTGGAGCTGGAAAAATACCATCATTGCTGAAAGTTATATCCGGGCTTTAGAGGAATAAACGCTCTGCTTGATTTCAGGGAAGGTTTGCGTATTTCAGCAAGTTAGTACTAAGTTATACTGCGTCGCTTTGTAATAAAAGAGTCTAAGTTCTGAACTAGCCTCTCTGCGGTGATGACCTTTAACCAACTGAAAATATTCTGTGCATCATGAAATAAAAATCATAACAAAGAACGAGTGTTGAGCGTCGGTAAGAATGGGACTTGTCTTGTCTGATATAGAACTCCTCGTCTCCTCAACTTGTCTTCTCGGTTCCCAGATGTTTACAGATTGTCATAAAAAGAAGAGACCATGACACCATAGCTAATACTTCTGCTAGCCGTAAGCTTAGCTGTAAAGTTAGCAAGGGGCATCTACATAGTAACTGTGATATCGGCTAGCAAAAAACAAATTGAAAAAGTAAATACACTTTCAATAGAAACACGAGCAGTTGACTCTTTAGAGTTGCTTATTACAGCTGAACACCAACCAAGACAACAGCATCCAAATGTCATCCAAAACAAAGAATCCAAATAAGCATTTAAGCCTTAATATGTTTTAAAAGGTGATTTTTAACTCACAGTTTTTACTGAGGGTGGAATGGAAGTGGTCTTCAGTAAACATGTATATTGTTGCCCTAACGTTGGCCATTTTAACACTGGAGTTTAGGGAGATAGACTCACTGAAAGTATGGAGCCTCACATGGCTAAATAAGGAACTGCAGTTATTTGGTTCTGTGTTTTCTTAGGCTACGTCCACACGTATCCGGGTATTTTTGAAAACGCAGATTTTTCTATGCGTTTGCACCTTTCGTTCACACGTAAACGGCATTTTTGGTCACTGAAAACTGAGATTTTTAAAAACTCCGGCCAGGGTGGATATTTTTGAAAACTCCGTTTTTGCATTTACGTGTGGACGAGAAAAACGGAGAAAACGCAGAAAACGCAACGTCAAAGGTGTGCGCCTTTTTTGACGTCACACTGTGCGCCACGTTATTGTTTCGGTGAAATGAATTTCTACAATACTGTTACTGTTAATTGTACTCTCTGCAGTGTTTAAATGCTTACATATACACACACAGTTACTGTCCCTCCACACATACGACTCAGTTCTGCTTCTATGCCCCATCTTTGTTTACTATTTCCCACCAAGGCTTCTAGACTTCTGATTGGCCATCATTTCTACACGGTTAGGAATATATCGCCACCTGTTGCTTTGGCATGTTCCTAGCAGTGTTTTCCTTCATTTCTGCCTTTACGTGTGGACAGGATTATTTTTTAAAACGAAAATGGAAAATCTCAGTTTTCAAAAATACCCGTGTACGTGTGGACGTAGCTTAAATGTTTCAGCCCAAGACCTTTCCACTTGATCTTGCAGCTGCATGGGATGAGTCATTGTTTACATGTTTGCACTATTTCTACACAAATTCCGGAAGTATTTATTTGGAAATCTTGGGGTGGTGATGAATATACTCTTTATAGATGTAAAAAGATAGATATTACTTCAGCCGCCACTATAATTTTGCATCTTTGTGTCAGGCGGTAATGAACGGTTTCTAATAGTAAAATTACATGGATGCATTGTACCACCTCTCATGACTGTTATCTGAATGAACTCCGCCTTAAGAGTACAGTATTTGTGTTGAGTTACAGCATGTCAAGACTGCCAGCTGGCTAAAACCTGTGAAATTGGTAACCACATTCCTGGGGTCCATAAAGATGACCCGTTGCCCCTTAGCATACACAGAAACACACACACATCGACTCGCACACCAGATGGGGGGGGTGTTTAAACATGATAGGTTTATTCTCTTTTCACCCCCCCTTCTGTTTTGAGGAGTTGCATGCTCTACAAGCAATAAAGCAATAACCTCGATAGCCTCTGATGATGGGTCTGTGTGTGAGTATACATAGCTTGGAGCAAGAACTCATGGTTCGACAACCTAACCCTAGCTGTTTTCTGTACTTTTATCATGTTGTGTTTTGTTTATTTGATGTTTCATAAGGAATAATAGGATGAATAGAACATTGTGCAAAGTCAGGGTAGATTTTTGTTGACACTTTGGATGGTTTGCAAATCAATATTTTATTCTGGGAAACTGAAATGCTGCCAAATGAAACACACAGTAATAGATGTGAGACACAGCACTTGGTGTCAAATCCTGAATATTATTTTTACTGACATGCAGAAGTCGTTCTGTTGGCATAAAGACAGTTTTTGATTGATTTTCACAGTCCTGACTGAGGGAAGATTCAACTTGCAGTATGATTGTGGGTTATTGCAGAGTTAACCTCAAAGTACTTAACACCGTTTTTCTTTGCCAGTTATTCTGTCACCTTGAGGCCTCCATGCTACACACAAGCACTGTTAGAAAAGTAACAATGCAACAGGGCCAAAGCTCCACAGAAACCACCACCTCTCTCTCAGTATGCATCTATGCCTTTACCTCCGTGTCTCTCTCTCCCTCTGAGCCAACAGGTTGCTGCAGCGTCACCCCCACCCCTCTTCCCAAACTTTTCTGTGCCTGAGCAAAGCCCAGGAAAGAAATCCTGCTTCATTCATTCACTCTTACACGCCTACCCCCTCTGTCACTCAGATACACACATATAGATACACACACATGCCAATTTAGTCTCTAATAACTGCCTCTACAAGGATACAACAGAAAATCCAGAATTGCTTTTGCCTGACTCGGATGCAGCTTTTTATATGTATTTTTAGGGGGGGGTTTCCTCTTTTTACCCTCAAAAGAAAATCACCTGGATTTGGAAGATAATAACTTGTGTGTATTGGTAAGTGAAAATGCATGGGCTCATTGAAAAGCCATTAGCTTAACTGCCTTTTAATATGGTGCTTTACAGGGTGCTTTTGAATTCTTAACTGCTCAGATACCCTTGTTGCACCGTAAGTGTCTGGACTTTTTATACTGAGCCATTATTGCTGCTTTTTACAGTAAAGTTTTTCTTTAATAGCTTAACTTGTCTGATATCAGTGCTCATCAGATACATTATTTGCTGTGAATGGACATCCTCCTCTGTTAAAGAACACTCACTTATATGTACAGACATCCCCATGCAGTGCCAAAGTCCTGCATGCTTTGTTGTCTGTTTTTGGATGACTGCTGTGTTTTTCTGCAGATTTTAAACATTCGGGTTGAAAAGGAGCACAAAAGAAGATGTAATGCATTTTACAGTCATGTAAACTCTTGTGTGTCATGAATAATAAGAGCATACCAGGTTGTTTGCAAGAACATTGTCAGGAGATGAAACTATGTCAAATGAATGCTTGTCGATTTCCCTCCATGTGTAGACATGTCTGTGTTGGCTGCGTGCAAATGTAAAGAGATATTAAGACAGTAGCCATACTGCAGCCTTTGAGCTGTGCATGAGAGTCTGCGGTTTTGTGAGTGTGTGTATTAGCTATAGAAATGATGTGTTGCACCAAAGACATCTGTTATCATACAATGTAGTTCTGAGCTGTGTTTCTGTGTGTGCTTCCTTACGCGTATGTGTGTGTGTGTCATTTCACTGTCACCAGTTTCCCACCTACAAGGATAATCCATCCTGTGAAGTGGTGAGGTGGAAAATGCCATTATGTAGAAATAGCTGACATGCAGTTAGACTTGCAGGCATGTGATGTGTGAGTGGCTGTGGGTGAGAAATAGAGATAGGGAACACAGAGAGGGTAGAAGGGCCAGGGACAGTAAACTTCATTTGGAAACATTATTTAATCCTCTCGCTGCAGTGATAAACTAAAGGCCTCTGACAGAAAAAAAGCACATTTTTTTTCTTCTTGAAGGTAGCAAGGTGTTTGTAATCCCAGTGTGCATACCCATGCATCCACTGCAACTGTTTTTATAGCTAAGCTGAGCTTTTGATTGGAGAAATACGAGAAATACTTTCATTTGGATCTATGAAAAATGCCAGTCATAACACAGTTTGACAAGCATAAATTAGTATTTTTGCACCAACAAGGTGATTTCCAAATTGCTATTAGTTGAAAACTTGTTGTGTCGTTGCAAGGTGTGCAGTCTCTCCTTAAAAAGTTTGAGAAAACTGGTTAGTGGGGCACAAAAGAACAAGTGGAAGGTCTAAAAATCCACAGGAGATGAAGAGAGTCTGAAATTAATGTCTTTAAGAAAAAGGAAAAAATCCAGCAAAAACGTCACACCTGACTCAGTTGATCCTTCGAATGTTTGCTGGAGCCTCATCAGAAATTTTCTCTGTGGAACAGTGGCTTTAAGAAGGTAAACAGAGAGAAAAGCCACAATAACTTGACTTTAAATCTGTGGCAGCAGATCTTATAGAGTAATCAATCCAAATTTGAAATTCATGATTCAATTTGGTGTCACTATGTTGGGAGGAAGAGAGGTACGACAGTGATTGTCTAGAGCCATCTGTAAAACACGGTGGAGGCTCTGTCATGGTTTGGGTTGCATTATAGCCAGTGGTGCTAGGATCTTTTATTATGAATGCAGAAAAGTGCCATCAGATTTTGATCCACCATGCAGTACCATCTCTATTCAGCTATTCATTTACAGCATGACAAAGATCTCAAACACACTGCCAGTGCAGTAAAAGCATAACTGCACAGAAAAACATCTAATGGGGAGGCCGATCCATGACTGAGTCATGTAAACAGTTTGGGATCATCTTAACAGAGAATGGAGTCAAAGTCAGCCAGCATCCAAAGAGGAGCTTTGAAATATTCCTGAAGAGAGTTCAGGCTGTGTATGTATATGTGCAAATGTTTTAATCCCTGAACCTATTTCCCATTTTCATAGCAAAATATAAAGAAATGAAACATGGCCTAAGACTTTTGCTCTGCACTGTATCCTGTAGTACTGTTATTGAAAGCTGTGATATTGGGCATGAGAAATTATGGTAGTCATTAATCATGTTTTTGGTCCAATACTGGTTTAGGTTGAAATATCTCAACAACTAATTAAATTTGACTTAAAACCTAATGTCTTCAAAAAAATAAGTCTTACTAAATGTTTAAAACTGCACACCTGATCAACACCGGTTAGCATGATCAGTGTGAGGATGTTTATCTCAAATCATTTCAGAGCTGCTAGGGTGGCCCTTACAATATTTGGAGGAGCACATAATACTTTAATTTCATTCTCATAAAATTTGATTGAATATTTAAGTAGATGTTGGCACATTTCTGAATATATTTCCATATTTTCTTCTAGAAACTTCTGTATACACTGAAAAGAAAAGGCTTACAAAAGAATTTCACCATAGTGAAGCTGTCACAAGACTTTCACATTCTGCTTTTTCACACCTTTTCCAAGTAGAGATGCAAACCTATTTAGGTCCGAAGGTTGATGATGATGATGAATGATGAATACCGGCTGCCATTCTTCACAACACAGTGTGAGTTTGTCCTCCCTTCACTTCAGTAATAAGAAGATACGTGCAGAGACAGATCTCAGATCTGCATTGGTATGTGAGGGGGCAGCCAGCGGGAGAATGTAGTTTTTTGGCTGTGTTATATTACAGTTCAAGCCTGCCAGCTCTCACTTCCATCTGCAGAGGTTGTAAACTATTCAGCCTTCAGCCATTCTGGCTTAGTCAGACCAGATGGTCAAATCACACTGAGGAATTTTCTGGAATTCAGATTGTTTCATATTGATTGGTTTATTTTTTATGTTATCATTATATACATTTATTGGTGAAATATGCTCTCATGGGGTAAGCATTAAAGTTTATGAATTAGCTCGATGGATGGATTGTAAATGTTTAAAGGTAAAAGAAATTTGTTCTGTTTCCATCTCATGTGTAGAAGTTGAGTGAAGGCAGGTCTCTCTTTGATGTTATGCTTATGAACTTGCACATGCCCATGCAATACTCACGGACACGGACGTACGTGCACAATCCACTATAAAGAGTGTATGGATACAAACCTAATGTAACACATAACACAAACAATGTTCTCTGTGTTAGTCCATGCATTTTAAAGCTTTTATCCGGCATAGAATTAAATGCTAGATTTAGTCTCCTTACATTCTGATGCTGGTCTTACATTTAATCCTTTAATAAAGTAGGTTGTCCATATTCTTTTGTCACAAGTTGAGGTGGTATCTGTGTAGACGCTGACCAATTTGACTTTGTTCATGTAAACTTTTTCAGTTATTTGAAACTGCAGTAAGTGTGAGAGTTGGGGATGGACGGGAGATAATGCATGCCCTGAGTTATGTTTTCAGACTGTTTTAATTTGGGCATGTCTGCACATAGTGTCTGGCCTGTTGCTGAAAGAAATACGTTTTTTCTTTCTTTGTTAACTAACTGAAAAACATAAAGCAATTATTAGTTGAACATCTGATCTGTTTTCCTTGTCCGTCTTGAAAAGCTGAGCTTGTTGGGGAAAGATGAAGAGGTCTGTGGAAGCATCGGGACTCAGAAGAAAGAAATCTTTGCAGTCAAAGGTCTTTTTGAACTTAACCCATGCTCTCAGAGCGGGGCACACAAGCAAGCTGTCTATTGATTAAGTCTGAGAATGACCAAGGGGTGAAAGAAGTTATGTTAGAAGTGAGATATCCTGGCTTAATACAACCTCAGAGATGTCCGTTGTGGACTGCCGTGCTGGAGCTAGAAGTGGTAATAAAAGGCAAGACAAAATCATGTTGGCCGCCCATTAACAGTGGCAAATATTAACAAGCCCTTTAACTCCCCATTTCTCTTCTTTGTCCAAGGTCTTTGTCATTCGAGGCTTTCTGTTCTTACTATATCTATGAGGACATAATGATAAGAATATTTGGGGGTTGTACACTGCAGTAAATGTGTAGATTTTCCTAGTGTATTTATCTTTTAGAGTCTATTTACTCAACAAGCATTAGTGTAACAAAAGATGCGTTATAAGTAGTTTGACAGCTTTAGGCAAAATGCTAGGAAAAAGTAGCTTTTGAATTTTTGATATGTTTATGTTAATCTTATCCAACTAAGAATACATGAGTGTGATGCATGATGCAAAGATGGCAGACATAAAGGAGACGCTATTCTTAATAAAGCTATTATTTGGGGCCGGATATGTTCCTATTTATGTGCCAAATAAACAGAATAATAGCATCCTGTGTCCAATAATGAAATTGGCCCATATGAAACATGTTTTCCGGGGTTGTTCCACTTCTGGCAGAATTATACATGAATCGTGTTGAGATTAGAGAGATGAACCAAGTACAATAGTTAGTTGTTAATGAATAAACGCATCCATACATTGTTAATTTTATATTAAATCTGAGGGGATATTTACAAAAGGTTGCCTTATTCTCATAACATTGGGAGTACCTGGGAGTTTTTAAATGCATTAGTCATTTATTCTGACCCAAAGCATAATCAATTTCTATGTAATAATAATAATGGATTGCATTTATATAGCGCTTTTCAGGGCCCTCAAAGCGCTTTACAATTCCACTATTCATTCACACAATGGTGGAGGCAAGCTACAGTTGTAGCTACAGCTGCCCTGGGGCAGACTGACAGAAGCGAGGCTGCCATATCGCGCCATCGGCCCCTCTGGCCAACACCAGCAGGCGGTAGGGTAAAGTGTCTTGCCCAAGGACACAACGACCAAAACTGTCCGATCCAGGGCTCAAACCGGCAACCTTCCGGTTACAAGACGAACTGCCAACTCTTTGAGCCACAATCACAAGTAGTGAAAACCAAGGGCAGAGTAAAGAAGCTCCAGTAATATTTTCAGAGTACTCTCCTACTTGCCTTAAACAGCCTATAATACAGACACAGGCACATCCCCCCAGCTAACTGAGACAGAAAGGAGCATTTCTGAATTAACCAGGTGTACACCACTGTGAGAGATAATATTCCTATAAATCAGCTAGCATACGAATGAAAATCAGACTTGCGGTTTTTGCAGTCAAAAAGATAAGAGAAGGATTTTCTCTATTCCAGATCATTACTGGGCCTCTGTTTACTCTCATAGCAAAAACTATTATTCTCCCTCTATCTAGATTCTTGTGAAGAATGCTTGTGTTTTCACTGGTGAAACTCATCCATCTGAATGTGCCTGTTAGAAATACTGGCCATCTCCACCCACTTTGCCTTTCACACACCCAAAACCAAACTCTGGTAATTATTTTTATCTTAACATTGTAGCTACAGTCCATATTTATTTAGCTTTCTTCTCATTATCTGCTGTCACGTGAAAAAAACACGTTTTCACAGGACTGCATAGGCTCTTGTGAAAAACTATGATTCAGTAACTTGTAGAACCAGCTTTTGTACAAATGTAATTGTTGTCTATACAACGTTGTAAGTCTATCATATTGTGGTGGAGGAATTTTGGTCCACTATTATTTACAATGTTGCTTCAGTTAATCGAGGTTTGTAGGCATTGGTTTATGCACAGCTCTCCTGCCACTGTATTTCAGCCATGTTGAGGTTCGGACTTTTTCAGGGGTATTGCAACACCTTGATTATCTTTGTTTTTCAGCCATTCTGTTATAGATTTCTGCTGTGATTGAGATCACTGTTGTCAATTTTTAGCTGTTGCATTTGACTCTAGAATACTTTGGTATAAAGAGGAGGTCATGGACAAGCCCAAATCATCGCTCCTCCACCACCGTGCTTCACAGTTAATATGAGGTGTTTGTGGTCAACATGGTCCTGTGGATTGTGAACTTTAACATATAACATGCTAACAAAGCCTCTTTGTTTTTTGCTATTTTTCTGAGAATGTTATTTTCCGTTGGCCTTGGGGTAAATGTGCTAAGACTTCCACTCCTGGGAAGTTTGTGGCATTGCAATAATACAGATCTGAGTCCTGCAGAGCAGCAAACTGCCAAAACATCTTATTTCGTAAAGATGCCCACACTTGCTGATGAAATTATTAAGAATATATGCCATAAAAACAGGACTCTAATGTTTGCATTTTAACTGCAAATATGACTTATCCAGCACACTATGTCAAAGCCACTGTAATGGCATGTTAGCTTAAGCCATAAAGCCATCAAACATCTTAAAGAGGTAGTTATGATTAGAAATGTACAGTGCACTCCATTTATGACTTATCCTGTCTCTGTTTTGGCTGTGATCAAATGATTTATCGCTGAGTTGTATCCTCAAGGTTCTTGTAACTTTTATACCTTTGAATAGAGGACTTTTTTTCATCACTAAACAGCATGTCATAAACAGTTTTACACATTTACGCCAACCTGTATGTTGAAATCCCAGGAGGATCTGCTTTGTAAGACAGCTACAGTAGATTATCAACACAATAACATTAAATGCTAAGTGCTTTAAATCAACGGGTCCTTATTGGACAGTATAAAAACCCCTTTGATGCTTTAATTTCCTTGGCGTCAGTGGAATTTGTTATAAAAGTGTTTACAGGGAGGCTCCTGCCTGCACCTGGACATATAATAATTATCAAACACATTATGCACTTGTTAAGGACATGGAAGTGTATAAGAAGACATCCGAGTTCATGTATAATATGAAAGTTTCTAACCTGGACCTATTTATTTGATTAGTATGCCAGTCAGTCATTGTTACATGTCTACAAGTCTCTTGAGTACAGCAGAACTACGCTGTTAAACTCTTCTTTGTGTATTACTGTAATTAAAAAAAAATACTCTTAGCAAACACCAAAAGCTTGGCTTCTGCAGAAGAGTTCCAACTCCCTCACAAATGAAAAAAAAAAAAAGCTGATTATGTTTATCTTTGAGGGCCTGTAATTACTTTTTTCTTCTTGTTGTTCTTTTGCATATTTTTCAGATAGGAGAAAAGAAAAGGTGGGATTGATGACTGTGAAGTGCAATTTAGGAACTGCATTTGTGAAGAGAGGAACTGGGGAGGAGGAGAAGGTGACTGAAGGAGGAAGACGAGGAAGAGTATGGGTCACTCTTCTGTGTGCATCTTTCTACTGTCCCTTTATCTGACTCATCAAAGTGTTGCAGCGCACGCTGAAGGTGAGTCGTGATATTTATAAACCTGTACTGCATGCTTACAGAATTAATTTGTGTGAAATTTCCCTTCTCCTATAGCACATCAACTTTCCTCCTTACTTTTTCCACCCCCTCAGTTACTTGATGATTGATTTATTTAACTCAGTGACTCATGTTTGCAGTCATTTTTCTCCATTTAATTTTCTGTCTGTGAAAAAAGAGTTAGGTACGTATTATTCTGAGTCACAGCCACGTGTCCAATTGTTAGCTTGGTGCACAGATCTATAAATTAGACAGGTTGGATGATCAGGCCAAGGAAAGGGCAGGTGCTCAATGAATAGAGTCTGTGCGAGTGCTCCATCATTAAATCTCCACACCTGGATTGGTACATGGGGCAGACACTAGCCCAGCTACAGTTTCTCTCCAGACTCTGTCTAGTCAGGGAATTTAAACATCTGCTGCCCTCATGTACAGTACAGCACTCTGTCAGCTACGCTGTCAAACCCATCCCCCTAGATACAGTACTCCAGCCTCAGGTGCTATTGGATGTCACCAAAAGGTCAACGAACCAATCAAAAGTTAGATTTCCTCCACTTGGATTGTGATTGGCAGAAGGTGATTGGTAAAGTTGTTGGGCAGAATTATGGAAGGTTATAAATAGCCCAAGAATACATTAAAAGCTGTGCTTCCTATGCAGGTCCTCCTACTGTTGATTAATTATAGTTTTAATTGTTAACCCAACATTGTTCTTAAGGTCCTGTGTTTCATAAAACACAGGAAATAGGTTTGTATAATTGTCATTAAATAATCTCATCTCATACAAGCAACAAATAAGCAATAATGTATGGAAGCTGCTTATTGTGAGAAACAATCAGATAACTTTAACCCAACTTTTCAGCATCATTAGTGCTTTGTAGCCTCTTTTAACTCAGTGATTTAGATCCCACAAACTTACTGAGAGAAGCAGTTTCAGCCACTTTTGCCAGCTGTCTTTTCTGCAGCAGTAAGCAGCTGTTCTCATTAAATAAGCTATGACAAACTCACTGTGCATACCTGCCCAACACCAAACAGCATGCACTAAAAAATTAGCAACTGGCTCATTGGGAAAATGTAATATAAAAAAATCCCATTTTAATCTCAGTAGTTGGTGGAGACCAAGACAAAAATACTGCCGTGCTGCCACAATGACTGATAGCCCTAGAAAGCAAAGGGCCCTTAGGCTTATAATAGGCTTTATTGAGCAACTACTTCCTGTTCTCACCTATGTTCTTAACGATTATTTTGTAGCACAATACATGTTATTGTTAATTGCATTTTTATTGATGTGTGCTCTCTGATGGGTTACATCTTATGATCTCATGTCTTAATCTTGTCAGAGGCAATTGGAGTAATGCATCAATATTTCTGAGGCTTTTTCTTTCTTGGCAGAATTTTCTGCAGCATATGCTCAAGCCACTGGGCTACATCTAATGTGGAAATCAGTGGTGGTCCAACACCAAGGTGTATGCAACCTTTGAGATATCAACATAGATAACCTTCAAGAAAACCATTCCTAATCTCTCAGCATGTTTTGTGTCCTTATCCTGGGCATGTCGATCTCACCTGCAAGCCTAGACAGACGAACTTCTGGATAATTGATCTTGTTTTCCATCCCAGTCTGTGTCTGTCTGACAGACACCAACCTCCAGCTGCTTCTTTGCTCAGTCTTCACAACATTTTATGTGCGTTTACTAAAATCCTTCAAGTGTGAAATGCATCCAGTAAATGGAAAAGCCACATGTTTATTATAGGGTAGGTAGTTGCTTTTATGAGGCACAACTCGGACCGGAAAGTATGAACATTGTTTTATCTCTTCAAAGTGCATCAATGAGTATAAGTCCTCGCTAATAGATCTGCTGTTGCTGAATATATGATACTACAGCTTCCAAAGATAATAGCGCTTGAGAGGCCTCCATAATGCTATTCCCGGTGATATTTTGTTTCCTTGGTGTATGGCCAGAAATGTATAGGTGTGTGAGGAGGAACATAATGTTAGGCCGCTATGGGCTGAAGACATATGTCACCCCCAGTGAATCCTGGGATTGCAGCCAAAGGAAGAAGGGTGAGATAATAGAGGAGAGAAAGCTTGATAATGAAATAGAAGACAGCAGAGAATTGCTTATCACTTACAGAACAATCAGTTGCGCCTATCTCCTATTCACTAGCCTAATCAATGCTGTTGTCACTTTGGTTTATTGCATATGCAATACCAGAATATTGACTTACAAGGTGTTTGCAGACACAGCAGTTTGTACATGTGAATATGTGTCGGTGCACTTGCGTATTCAGTGCACCAGTTCACTCAAAAAAGCATCTAAATCCCATCAAACCCAGCAGATTCTTATTTTAAATGCGTTTGTTTGCTTGGGCAAGGGTACTGACCCTGATTTTGGGTGTGTTTACCTTATTATTCTAAGCGTTTCTCATCGCTGTACTAAAGTTTTATTGCTGGAGTGCTCAGAATATTGATAGTCTCTTTGGCTCACTTGTGTCTCATTAAAAATTCATAAGGATTTGTGTGAGGCTCTGGCTGCATGACAGAAGCAAATGAAAGGAATCCCCTCAGCAAGGTGGAACAAGACTGCTATCTGGTGGTCAGTGTAGGAATTAAAGATGTCTGAAGCAGCAGGAGGCTAAATTAGTGTTTTTGAGGTTTCAGAGGGAAACCCTTAAAGATAAATGTAATGGAGAATTACATTTTGATAAAATGTCTTATTCAAGTCTTGAAACCAGCAAAAAAAGAAAAAAAAAACCCAAATTCAGTAGCTGAAAATGATAGATTGCATTTTTAACTAAAGGATAAAATATTCAAATATGGCTTGGGCAATTTATAATACTAAAAGTTATTAAAGTAGCACTGATAGTGTTAGATAATAGATTAAAACATTTAGTTAATGAGCTCAAATGAGGGCAATATTAGTTAAGTAAATTTAAAAAAAGTGAGTTCTGTTTAAAATCTCACTTGGTTTTCTCAGTCGGTTTTCAGAGAACCGATATTACCCTGGTAACCAAACGATATGTGTCAGTAAACCACGGTGTAAAGTGCCATTTAAGTGGTTGATAACAGTTTCTACCAATCTGTAGGCAGCATAGCTTTCAGGAACTGTTGGGTATTTATGTAGAATTAGAATTTGGAGAACTCACAATCCACGAGCCATAAAAATACAAAAAAGGATATAGAGAGTATAGAGATATATAGAAGTTTCACCTTTTTTGAAGTTACTGACGAGGTAATGGAATAATAGCTACGTATTAGTATTAGTGCATTTCTTTTTAATTCTTGAATCTTCTTAAAATATATCTTATTGTGTCTTTCTATGCTTCATGTATATGCTACCATTTTACACATATTAATTAATCTTTTCTTCTTTCCTCAGCATGCAGGACAGTGGTTCAGGCCGACATAGTGTTTCTGGTGGATGAGTCCTGGAGCGTGGGTCATAAAGACTTTTCCAGAATCAAAGACTTCATCTCAGCCATCATCTCCTCCTTTCAGGACAATGTGGTCGGAGCTGATGGGGTCCGTTTTGGAGTCACTGTCTTTGGGGATGTTCCAAGGTAGAAGTCAGTCCTGAGCTTGGCACATCGCATGAACCTTTGTGGCAGCTTGGCATAAATTATATTCAGCTGTCTTTTCTACATGATCACTTTCTATGACCACTGACAGGAGACGTAAATAACACTGATCATCTCTACATTATGGCTCCAGTATCTAGTGGGATATACTAGGGAGCACATGAACCTTTTGTCCTTGAAAGTTGATGTGTTTGATTTGTTACAAGAAGGAGAAATGGGCAAGGATAAGGATTTGAGCAAGTTTGTCAAGAAACAGATGTTGGTGGCTAGACAACTGGGTTGTCTGCAGCTCTTCTGGGCTATTTTTAGTCTGTAGTGGTTGGTATCTATCAAAGGTGGTCTGGGGAAGGAACACCAGTGAACCAGCAACAGGATCATTGATGCACTAGGGGAGCAAAGGCTAGCCTGTGTTGTCTGATCCAACAGATGAGCTACTATAGCTGAAGGAGTTATTGCTGGTTCTGATGGAAAGGTGACAGAATACACAGTTCTGTGGTCTAATGTGGAAAAATGTTTCTATCTGATCCAGTTTTGTGCTTCTATGTCCATGCAGGATGCGGATTGCTTTGACAGACTACAATTCCCTTGAGGAGGTACTCAGAGCCATCAAAGACCTTCCCTATGAAGGTGGATCCAGGAGGACTGGCATGGCACTCCAGTTTCTGGTCGACTCTGTTTTCAGCCCCGTCATCAGGCGGGATTCTGTCCCGAAGGTACGCTGCTTTACACAGCGAGGTGGATTGTTATACACTGAAAAAGAGAAATTTAAATCTTGGATATTTTTGACAACATGTTGTTTCACAGGCTTTGGGGGAAATTATTGATTTGAGATTACTACCCATGCTGCAAAAACATGCATGTACTGTCTGTTTCGGCCCTGTGTGAAAGGAAATGACTAGTCAGGAATCTATATTTCCACTCCACAGGACATGTGGAAAAAACAAATAAACAGGTTTACCATTCTCACACAGCTGTGAATCTGATTAAACCATCGTGTTATATGCTGAGAATACAAATTGATAATATTTGAAAGGTGCAACAGGGAACAGGATTTATTTTGCTTTCTCTGGTGCTTTGGAGGAAAAATAAAAGATAAAGAAAATACATTTTCCACCACAGATTTTCATCGATTATCAGATGGAGATAAGGCGTGACTGCTAAACATCCAACAGATGGTCATCCACAGTGACTCAACTTGGTTTATGCCAATGACCTTAAAAAAACAAGTGTTAAATTGGGCTTGGTGCATTTCTTGGATCCTAACAAAAATGCCACATTCACCAACTTGTCTCAGAAGTTCCTTGTCAAATATCCAGATACACTTTCTTTCCCACAACTCTCCTTTTCTATCAGACACATTTCCCTGACAGTCTAATACTGTAGTGTAGTCACAGTATAACACAGCTGGTTAGCATTCTAATCATTTCTCTATCTCTGTGTGCATGTGTGAATCATCTTGCTACAGCACACTGGATATGGGAAGGTGGAGAATTGAGGATTAGGCTGATATATTGAATTGTACAGCATGCAAAGCAGCAACTACATTCTCCTGTGGATGCTCTCCACCTCCCTTCCTCACTGACTGAGGGGTGAACTTTGAGTGAACTGAGAGAATTTTCCTTAATGGGGAAATTATTAGACTCAGCTGCAAGCCAGCATCCTTGAATTCCACTTTGAGTTTGGGTCTGATTTATTTAATTATGTTTTCAATTATGTGCTAAACTGCATCAAAAGGCTTTGGAGGCTTTCATGAGAATGGTACTGTTTACATGGATGCTCTTTTAACACAAACAAATGTTGTTTGGAGGCTTGATTTAAGCCTCCAGTGATGCCAACAATAGTTGAAAACAGAGGTTGAAAGAGAGCAGCTGAAAATGACCCGTATGTGTTTAAATATAATACATTTTACTAGCTTTATATTATGCATTCATTTATCAAGAATTAGCAGATCTTCACATTATTGTCTTTTCTTTACATATGCCATTTTCTGTCCTGTGCAGATTGCTGTTTTGATCACAAATGGACAGTCGGACGACCAGGTCAGTGCTGCAGTCAGAGCAGTAGCAGACAATGGAATTACTGTCTTTGCAGTAGGTGAGTGTGGAAGTTGCTATTGTGAATTCTTTCAACATCCCCACTGCAGCAGCCCTTCAGATTTTATCCAAGCTCTGCCCGCTTATCTGCAGTGTTTGCAGTTAGAAATTCATGTCCTGTGCATTTGAATTCATTGGATTCAGTGTGGGTATTTGTGTGTAGGAGTCTTATTTCTGAGTACCTGAGCGCGCTCATGCTTCTGTATGTATACACACCAAGTTTACTTGCACATACAGTACCTTGCCCTTTTCCCCCTACTCACAGGCATAAGCACACAAGCCCACAACTTACTCCTCACAGCCTGCAGCGATGCAATAATTACTGCTCATTAGCCAATGGTGTGCTAATCGCAGTCATTTTTCATTAGGCAATTCTGTGCCTTCCCAACCCACCCACCCCCACCACTGACACCGAAACCTGCTCCTCTCGTTCATCACCACCGCGTGGCAGCTCGACATGAATCTTGACCGCTAATGCAAAGCCAATATTACCTGTAGAGCTAGAGCAGCCTGGAAAGCATAAATTAAATTATGTCAGCGCCTCCCTGCTCTATGCAGCCTTAGACCTCGTAAGAAATCAACATGCACATTCATGTTGTTTATGTGCAAATTTCATACTGTAGACAACTTATTCAGAGTTGCAAAATGCAAAAATCTCCCAGTGGTTTTCTTTTGTGCATTAGGAAAACTTAAATACTTCACGCCTTGGCATTTAGGGCCCACTTGCACAAACTGAGATTCGTTCCAGAAATTGAACGACTGTGGTTATTTAGATGTAAAATATATGTGTATATGGGCACATATTGGAGCTTTTCATATTGAATCTGTCAAAATGCAACACCTCCCCCTGGTGGAGATCAGAAAAAATACAAACAAAACCATTTAATATCCACACAGTGTGCATTAATCGAGTAAACTTCCACATAATCAAAAATTTGTTAATAATACCTTTAAAAAAATCTTGTCATATGTGCACATTTTTTTTGTTTATCATCTTGAATTGGTTATGAAACATTTTTATGCACCTTGGCATAAAAGACTTTATTTCATTATCTTCTTATTTATACTGAAAACCAGGCCTCACGGGGGTTGATGAGGCAGAGCTTAGGAGGGTTGTGTCGGAGCCACATGCCGAGCATCTATTGCCGGTCACTGATTTCTCTACCATGGACACCATCCTCCCCAAACTGTCCCGCAGAGTGTGCCTCACTGCCTCTGAACCCCCACGTCCTGTGAAAACTTCCCAGCCTAGTAAGTTCTTCGTAATATGCTGAAAAAGCTGCCTACTCACTGACAGCTGTTTGCATTTTCATATTGACGAATTGTATTGCACTCTCGCACTTGAAAGGTATAATAAAAATGAATAATAACGTTCTTTTATTTCACTGTACTCTGCAGCTTCTTTGCTAACATAATCTATCTTGTAGACATATTTTACATCAACTTGCATATTTTCTGCTCCATGTTCCGCTCCTCATCCCATCTGTCTCATCACTCTTTCTACACTTACTTTTAATCGTAGGCGAGGAACGTGTGGTGGGTCCCAGAGACCTTCAGGTTAGCGAACTGGCCCACAGTTCTCTTAGACTGACGTGGAGCCAGGCCACGGGTGATGTCACCGGATATCGCCTCCTGGTCACTCCACTGAGCTCGGAGGGACAACTCCTTCCTGTGCAGCAGAGGCAGGTGAGGAATTGTCCATAGATAAGGTCACTGTTGCATTATTGTTGAGCTAGAGCATGCAATATGTCATCATACTGACTTTCATAGACAGTAAAGCATTTAATTCATGAATTAGTTGGACATCTCAGTTTTTTTTTTACTGCTGATTAATCACCTCACTCTCCATGGAATTCCTCTTTAAAACACATCGATTACATGAACTTCTCATATTAAAAGTTAAAACAGCTGACAACAGCAACTCACCCCTGTGATCAGTCTAAGTAGTGGACTCATTTCAGTGAGATTTATCTCTCCTGCAGTCATTGTGTAGCACTCCAAACTCGGTGAAACATTTACAAAAGCAATCAACATGAGCAGTCGTCTCAATGATATCAGTGCTTCTTTGTTTCTGCCTAGATTCTGCATTATGTTATAAAACGCAACATAAAACCAAATTTAATTATCGTGGACAAAAGTCTAAACAAACTGTAAAGATGTCAGTGGTTTTTAGAGTTAGATATATAAATGAAATTGAAGCAATAAAGGCAAAACAGCAGGATATTTATGTAAGCGTACTTCCCAAAAATGTCTCTCTGTTCCATTGCAGAGCCTCCAGGTATGTTTATCTTCGGCTCTGACTTGAACATTCTTCCTCTTAATCAATCATCCTCTTCTAAACATCATTCTGTCTTCCACTTTATGTCTCAGGGAAACACAACATACACACTCAAACATACACACACTCAGATCCTTTTGTTCTGCTGTCTGTGTATGTAACAGATGGATCTGAAGGCAGATGTGAGCACAGCCATGGTGACAGAGCTGAGTCCCAAAACCGACTATTCCCTCACCGTCTATGCCATGTACCCAGGCCTCATAGGAGACTCTGCGACAATCAAAGTAAAGACAAGTGAGTGTCTGCTCATGCACCTAGTGTAGTGTCTCTATTTTTAATTGTATGCTGTCATCTTTCCCTGAGCAACAGGTGTCTGTCTTTCAGCGCCTTTGCCCGAAGTTTCAAACTTCCGTGTTATTGAGGAGGGCCTGTTCTCCCTGCGCCTCGGCTGGACACCCCCCCAGGGGAAGCTAAATGGATTCAAGATCTTCATCCCGAGATGTATGCTGACATAAGTGCATGCTAGATGTTAACTTTGTTTCCAGAGGGGTTTGTTGAAAGAAAGCTGTAATGGGTTCTAATAAAGAGGTTTTTTTTAAAGTATTATTTCTTGTGCATTTATGATTGTTCTCCAGCCAACAGACCAGGATTCATTTATGAGCAGCTGCTTCCCAGAGACATTTCCTCTCATGTGATTGACAGTCTGGAGGAGGATAAGAAGTACACTGTCAGTATTTATGCTGTGTACCCTGAAGGACCAAGTAAACCGGTTTCAGTAGTGGGGAAGACATGTAAGTTTATTAGCTTGGCTCAAAACCCCATCATTATGTTCATTTACATAAACAGGAAAGCCAGAGAGCACGCTCCGGCACACTGGAAGCAGTTTATTAACTGCTTTAAATGTCTCTTCAAACAACACCTAAGAGCAAATATTAAAGTGCAGTACCACAATATTTCCACAGCAGGGTGGTATTGTTTTAGTAAAAAATATTAGCAAGCAGACTCTATTCTCTACTCTGTCATGTCATTGTGTATAATTTACCTAAATTTACCTTTGCATGTATGTGTGGGATGTGCTTAATAGTGAAGTTGGTGCCAGTTCATCAGTTTCTGGTCCAAAATGCCACCACAGACACCGTTCAAGCAAGGTGGGCATCAGTTAAAGGTGCTACAGGATACCGTTTGACATGGGCATCTACAGGTATCGTGGTTAAGTACCTTTCTTGCGAAACAGCTAAAATGCGAAATATTTAATTTAATACATCTCTTTGCTTAAATGTCACTTTATATCTTGTAGAAGGCCACATAGAAAACATAAACCTCGGGGACAATTTTAACTTCTACATGATACAGGGCCTCCACACAGGCTCTGAGTACACCATCACCATCAACCCCATCTTTGGAGACATTGAGGGGCCTATCACCACTGCGAAAATCAAGACATGTAATTAAAAATTTTCAAAATAAAATTGCACCAAAGCAGTAGATAAGATGCATAACAGTCCTCTTTGTCTTTCACTATCTCACTTTCTGTCAGTGGAAAGTAGTTCAGTACAGACTCTGAAAGTATCTGCTGTGAGCACAAGTACTGCAGTCGTCTCATGGAACAGTGTCCCGGGGGCTACAGGATACAGACTGGCATGGAGACCCACCCCAGGTGATTTATTCAGTCACTATTGTCTGCCGCTGTTTACCCTTGTTTTTTGCAGATATTCTCAACTCGGTTATTTTCTCAATGGACACTTTAACCATAGCAACATGACAGTAGCTTGCGATGAAATACAGGGAAAGAAGGAGGATATTTGCCTCTGATACAAAGTGAAAGTTTGAAGTCACTGAGGAATAACAGACTAACTGTAATGTTAATATTATTTCTAGAGTTTGTTGGTCGGGATCGTCCCAGACAATTGGCTCTGAACACCAGCACTACACAGTACCAGCTGAAAAATGTAGCCCATGATACGGAGTATGTCCTGACGCTTTACGTGCTGTTTGGCGCTGCGGTTGGACCTGGCATCGCTGCCACCTTCAGAACTTGTAAGTAACCTTGTTCACCAGACATCATATTCAAATGTAGGAATAAGCCATTTTTTCATCTTTTTCAATAGACTTTTTTCCCCCAGAAAACTTTTGGGTGTAGCTTTAGTGTTTATTAGAAGGAAGTAAAGATGTAATAAATATTATTTTTAAAAATTGTGTTCCACACTTACCGGAGCAGCTTCCCAGGATGCTTACTGGCTGTTATCAATGAAATCTGACCTCTAGTTGTCTTGTTCCTCTGTGCGGCGTCATCTCAGTCATTCAGTAAGTATAATGGCGAGAGAAAGAGATCTGGTTTTGTTTGATTGGCATGTGGCCATGGTAACAGGAGTATATCTATGTTCTTATGGTGCTATGTTTCCTCAGTTCAATATTGCTTTACCATTCTATTGCAGACACACACATACAAAAACACTGGGTAACACTCTATAGAACTTTTTGACGCGTACCCACAATAGCCCATAAGTCATAAGTCACATTAGGTGCTTAGTTAGCTGGAAAATATGCATTTTTCCAGCTTCCCATTATGTGCCTTTTAGAGCTCAGGAACATAGGACCCTTGGGGCACAGGAATGACTCCATTTCAACCACAGTTCCTACTTCTGTCACTTCTCTTAAAGTCTAAAAGGGTTTTTTTCATGACTGAAACTAGAAAGCTAAATAGTTTTTCAAACTTCTCTGTATTACTGAAAGTACTCAGATATGCCAGCTTGCACAGTCTATAAGCAGTAGAGCTGTGGAGCTGTTCCCATTATTGGTTCTCTGTTTTGTCTGTTGTGGGTGCATGCACACAGGTGACGTAATAATGATATCACATCATTCCACTGATATCCAGGAGCACTTATATCAAGCTTTCACTATCAAGCTAACAATGCCTGGGACGAAAAATATTAAAAACTAAACATTAAACCTTATAAAGATGAATGCAAACAAACCTTGAAACCTTGATAAGAAATTTTGATATGTAAATGGTTCATGAGGAGAGAATTGAATTCAGTGGTGCAATGCACAACGAATTTTGGGGGCAACACTACATGCTAAACAGACTTTTTTGTTTGTATTAACCATGACCACACACATCGTCACTGACCTCTGTTACATGTGTAACCACACCCAACGAATTGGTGTCCTGACACTGAAGTGAGCAGTGCGTTTAGTGATCAGCAGACTTTCAGCAACTTCCAAAATGGGCTTTAAGAAAAAAAGTCACGATGAGGAAATCAAAAACGCCAAAGATTTGTGATTCATCTTTTTTACTTGAAACAGGGTATTTATAAGATCAGTCCTTGATGTTTTTTCTTTCATTTTTTCAGCTCCTTTGGGTTATGTCTCTAACTTCAAGGTGACATCCTACACAAGCACCACTATAGATGTGGCGTGGAGTCCCATCGTTGGAGCCACCGAGTACAAACTCTCATGGAAAACAGGTAATATATTTATACCTATTCCTTCCCATTACACCATTTTAAAGCATGCCAGCATGCCAGCCCGATTAAAGACCCTCTATTTACCATACATTATCTTTACAACAGATAGATGGATAATTTGTCTTTTGTTTTGTTTTCGTCTGATGCTTGCAGATAATAGCAAACCCCAAGTCCAGTACCTGGATCGTAGCATCCTCTTCCATCGTCTCAAAGACCTGAATCCACAGTCTACCTACACAGTCACCATCTGTGCAGTGTATGGCAACTCAGAGGGACCAGAAATCTCCTTATCTCAGCTCACAGGTACTAAACATATGTGAAGTCTCAGTGACTTTGAATTTATCATGAGCCATCTTTAGATCTAAAATGGCTCTGTGCAGCTGTGCCCCCATCGTAATTAAATGGGAAGGGTACGGCAAAGTTCCCCAATCTGTGCCACATAAACCCTCGTAAGTGTCGCCGTTTGACTGACATGTCATGTACTTTGGTCTTCCCGTTATAACCACAGTTCCTGCTGCTGTCACTTGTAGTATGTGTCACTGAGTCCAAGTCAGCAGGGCTGCTATCATTCTATCACTGTCACTGTCAGAGTGTTATTCCGAGCTTCAAGTGCTACGTTTATTACAGTGTAAAATAATAGGGAGGGGTAAGTAAAGTCACATCAGCAATTTTTTCAGATATTTTAATCACATATTTTATGATTTCTGGGTCCTTAATGCATTGTGATGTGAAAAAAAAATTGTCACAGCTTTATGGTATAAAACCTGGATTAACATCTCCTGTGGTCATGTTATGTTATGCTTAGCTGCAGTGTCAGAGTCAGATCCAATCCAGCCAGTGAGGGAGGTGAAGGTTGAGGACATTGGAGTAAATTCCTTCACACTATCTTGGAAAAAAGCATCAGGGGCTTCTGGATACAAAATCTCTTGGATCCCATTTCTTGGTAAGAAACCACATAAATAAACCACCCAAATGTGTATTCTAATGCCTCAGGCTATGAACAAGTAGACATAATATACAGTAGAATTACAACTGCATTTACATCTCTGGATCAGAGAAGCTGAGAAAAATTTTTTTCACTCGGGTCGATGAAAATATTAAGCATGTCTTAAATTAAAATATTTGCAGTATTTTCCTATTACAGCATCTAGCAGCATAATGAGTTACCACTCCTCAGTTTAGACTCTTGTGACTCATTGTATAACAGTTTCATCCGTAAATGACTGCAAACACGGTTGTTTGACACTTTCATGCTGGATTTAATTATTCTGTGCACTAGGGGGTGATGAGAAGTCCCATGTGGTATCGGCTGATTTTGCCTCCTACACCATCCGCAACCTGCGAGAGAGCTCAGCTTACAAGATCCAGGTGTCCTCCATGGTGGGCAGCAGGGAAGGAAGCGCTGTCCTGGTCACAGCACGTACCTGTGAGTCCTGCCTGGCCCTGGTAGTAGGGAACAGTCTGAGTTTCAGGGAAATGTTCAGTAATATATGTTTCACCAGTTTCCTTAAACAGATTATGTGTAAATGCCACTACGGTGGCTTAAAATTTAGTAGATTTAAAAGTACCTCGTATTGAAAGTTCCAATGAGCAGCTACCAAAATGCAAGTTAAACACTTTGAGTCAACTCAAAATCTTTTATCAGAGGCTATGAAAAACTTCTCCAATTACTTTGAGCCTCATAAAATCACTACGTTTAAAATGGTTGTATTTCAGGAACAAGTCATTCAAAACTTTTGTCAAACCTCTTGAGTCAAAGCTGAAAGTTTGCACTTCAATCACATATTGATGGCCTAATTTAAAATCTAATGTGGTGGATGCAAAAAAAACAACTTTTATGTACATATATGCGCCTAATACTGGGAATGTTAAAGTTTATATTCATTAGGACGTATGATATAATAAATCCACCTAATGTCACTTGTTTCTTTATGTCATTATTCATCAGAGCTATTTTGTGTGTTTCAGTGGATCTTCCCAAAGTAGAAGGATTTGTTGCTTTGAATACAACAGATAACAGTACTGTTCTGAACTGGACACGCGTAGCTGGTGCCTCAGGATATCGCCTCTCCTGGAGGCACATCTCAGGTCAGTAAGCAACCACAACTTGATAAAGCACCTTCTTATAATTCATGCAACTTTCTTTTAGGCTCCAGAGATGAATTACATATTATGTAAATGATATTACACTGCATACAGAGACCTGCCATAAACATTCTTTTATTTAGCAGGTCTTGGTCTGAAAAGGCAATATTTGCCTGAATAAAACACAAGTATCCCAGCATGCCAGGAATAATTGTTTAGAGATTTCAGAGTGTTTTAACCATGATATGTCTTTTGTGAATAAAGTGGCAACATAAGCACCCTTTTGTTAATAAGGTGAAAAGTCTTATTAACAAAATTCCTAAAGTAATATTGTCATAATTGACAAATCTCCGTACATGTAATTTGTCACCAGATGTTCAGATATATCATTTTTATTTGTAGATTTGACACATTATTTTACAGGTTATTAAAAAATACTGTTTGCTTTCCTTTTTATACACTCAAATCCATTTTAGTATAAAGATTTATTTTCCTATTTCTTATTTCTTGAATCCATACTGTCACAAGTGATCACTTTGCAACACCATGTTTTCTATGTATGTTTTTTTCAGTGTTTGACACAAAAACAGAAATCCTTGGCCCTGGATTCACCTACTATAAGATCAGTGATCTCTTGTATGGCAGAACATATCTTTTCACCATCAGACCTTTGTATGGAGAAGTGGAGGGGCCTATAAGCACCATGTATCAGAGAATATGTAAGACTCTCTCCAAGTTGTTTGACTGAATGACAGACATACACTTCAGATCCTTCTGTTTACTTTAATACATCCACTGATCAGGCTATAATACCTACAGTCACATCACACTATACTGTGTGTGTATTTTTATTTTTGTAAGCATAAAATTGACAAAGCTCAAATTAGCTTCCTGAAGAAAAGAAATGCTATCTTAGCTAAGTGTTAAGCTATTTAGCACTACATCTCTCATATGGCCATCTTATTCTAAACTTCATGAATGCTTTAAAATGTTGAACCTATTTGTCTGACTACCCATGCATCTTTCTTAGCTTTCTATTGTCAGCTGTTCTGTTTGTTGATGTTCAGTGAACACCTACAGGAGCTTTTTCCTAAGACTGGTACAAGCTGAAAACCCAAACTGAAGAATGCTGCAGCAGTGTTTTATTGCTTCCTTTGCAATCCCATTTGTTGTTCCAGCAAAGACTCTGTTTGACTCCAGAGACTTCAAGCGTTTGATTTATTTGTTATGGTTCTGTGTATCACAGTGGGACCAGCTCGCCCAGCGTTAACAGTCCAGCCTGTGCCACCTACAGTGCCCCCCCATTCCCCACCTAACACTGGGGACTCCCAGACTGCCTCTATCATCAACACAACCACTGCTCAATCACCCATGAGGACCACCTGGCACCCTGATGTTGTGCTTCCAACTGAGTCCTTAACAACCAAGAAGCCCCACGTTCAGCCAAGTGTCACTGAGGGCAAGGCAGGAGCAGTCACGTCCTTTCGATTAACCACACTGAGTAGAGTGACAGAGAAAAAAACACCACCACAACCAGGTATTTTAGAGATTCTCTTATATTTTTTCCCTCATGCTAAATAATATGTAGCATATTTTTTAGTTAGAACTGTTTTCTGTCCTGTTTCTGTCCAGTGTGCGGTAAGACCAAAGCGGATATAGTGTTCTTGGTGGATGAGTCGTCGAGCATTGGCACTGACAACTTTAGGAAGATGAAAGACTTCATATTTCGAGTGGCTACATACTTCCCTGTAATTGGTTCACAGGGCACGCAGGTTAGTTGCTCAGTAAAAACTTTTCTTTGTACTGTGCTGAAGATAAAACTTTCAGGTGTTTAATTTTATCACTTTGGCTGTGAGTCTGTTTAGACAATTACAAATTGGACTCGATTGCAGTTTTTGAGTCATAATAGCTGCCCGGAAGGTGAGTCTCATGTGCAGGCTTAGACCATTAGCAGTAACATAATGTGCTCTTCTCCACCAAATGGGCTGAATCAGACTCAAACATTGGCAGAAAGGAGACACATGGCATAATGCCATTTTTTTGTCAGCCAAGGAGGCAAGCACAAGCAAATATATAGTTCTTATGATCTTTGTTTTGAAGAATGAAGTTTCATCACAGTCAGCTGTGATCTAAAAATCCTTTATATTGCTGTTATGATGATGTGCATTTTCTCACTCTCTCAATCTTCTTTCAGATAGCTGTGGTTCATTACAGCGATGAGCCTCGCGTTGAATTCCGCCTTAATGACTTCAAAGACAGAAACTCTGTGCTCAGGGCTCTCAGAGCGCTGCGTTATGGAGGGGGCAACACCAAAACCGGTTGGTGATACTCACACAGATGTGCACCATGCTTTGTCTCATTTTGCCAGCTATCTTCAGTGGGCCAGGAGCCTCTTTTACTATTTCCTGTATTGAAAACCATAGCCTTTTTAACAGGTGTCACACTGTTCTGTTACCAAACACCTGCACACTGACTGCTGATGTAGTTAGTATCATATGAGATGATCTTTTATTGTGCATGGGCAAATTGAATTTTGTGTAAAAAAAAGAAAGAAAGAAAAGTTGTTGAATCAGTGAGATGATACAAGAATTCATATGGTCCAGGACCACAAATAATAACATGGCTGAAGAATCTCATTACAGTGCTGGAAAACTAGCAAACATAATCCACCAGAATTTAACCAAAAGTCATATTACTTTCTCTTAAAACTTATTTTTTGTTGTTTTTGTTCTTTTGTTCCTCAGGAAAAGGCATCAGCTATGTTCTGCAAGAACTGTTCCAGGAGGCTCATGGGATGAGGCAGGATGTACCCCATGTTCTGGTTTTGTTTACAGATGGCAAGGCCCAAGACAATGTGGTGCCACCCTCCAGAATTGCCCGCGCCTTGGGTGAGTTATAATATAAACTGTTCAAAACACGTGAACGGATTTTTCACTCATTAAAAGTTTAAACTAAAATATTCAGTTATCATGTTACGATTGTGTCTCTGTAGGGGTCAGCGTCCTGGCAGTTGGAGTTTCGAATGCAGATCGTGAAGAACTGAATAAAATTGCAGCTCCCACCAGCTACAAAAACATCTTCTATTCACCAACTTTTGATGATTTTCCCTCCGTGGAGAGAGAATTTATCAGAAGCCTCTGTAGCGACGAACTCATCACAGAGTTCAAACTACAAGATGAGGTGAGGTAAAAAAAATAAGGCAAAGGTATTGCTTGTCTGTCTGTAAGAAACTAAAACAAATAAATGACTGTAAATGTAGAAAATCTTTGTTCATAAGCGATACATACAAGTATGCGTTGTAGGAGATTTTGTTGTATTGGGACAGCTTTTATACTGTGCCTGTAAAGTGAACATACTTGCACGTGTAGGTGGATCTTCTAAAACACCTGTGGAGCCTATTATTTGTGTCTAATGACCATGTATTACACAGAGGTCCATCCATCCATCCATCCATTTTCATCCGCTTTGTCCGGGGCCAGGTCGCGGGGGCAGCAGCCTAAGCAAAGAGGCCCAGACCTCCCTTTCCCCAGCCACCTCCTCCAGCTTATCCGGGGGAATACCAAGGCGTTCCCAGGCCAGCCGAGAGATATAATCTCTCCAGCGTGTCCTGGGTCTGCCCCGGGGCCTCCTCCCGGTGGGACATGCCTGGAACACCTCACCCAGGAGGCGCCCAGGGGGCATCCTTGTCAGATGCCCGAACCACCTCAGCTGGCTCCTTTCGATGTGGAGCAGCAGCTGCTCTACTCTGAGCCCCTCCCGGATGGCCGAACTTCTCACCCTATCTCTAAGGGAGAGGCCAGCCACCCTTCGGAGGAAGCTCATTTCTGCCGCTTGTATCCGCGATCTCGTTCTTTCGGTCACTACCCACAGCTCGTGGCCATAGGTGAGGGTAGGGACGTAGATCGACCGGTAAATTGAGAGCTTCGCTTTTACACTCAGCTCCCTCTTCACCACGACGGACCGGTGCAGCGTCCGCATTACTGCAGCTGCAGCCCCAATCCGTCTGTCGATCTCCGGCTCCCTTCTCCAGGGAGAAGGTCCATCCAGTTAATTTTAAATTTGCACACAAAGGCTCTGCAGGTGAGAAAACGTCACCATTCTTTACTTGACGTCAGACCGGAGGACGTAACTGCAGACTCAGCCCATTTCTGATGATGTGTTTTGAGAGGCTGGTTTTTCATAAAAGACAATAGACCTGTCCACATAGATCCTCAGCAGTTGGCTCCACTGTCCCCCGTCTTCACACACCTTGATAATAAATAAAGCCTCTGTGAATGCTGCTGATTTGAGCTTCGCATTCAATAATGAAACTCAAAATTTCTTTTCTAAAAATGAGTAGGTGTGGTAGAAACGTCATAGATTTCCTGGTGCAATCAGTAGGAAAAAACGGAGCTCTGCAGTGTTCAAGCAGTTGATTTTTTTCCTTTTGTTGTTTACTTGTTGTCGGGCCAGCACCTGCCCCTCTTTTGTTGTGGATGTACATGTATTTTTCTTGTTCATATCCTGAGGACATGAGCAATCTTGCGGTGTGGTAGCCAGAGAACAATCAACTGCACATTGTAAGGAAAAAAATAAGCAGGTGATTTTTGATTTTAGAAGAAAGGAGGCAAAGACAGACACACCTGTTTTTTTGGGGTGTTTTTTAGGTGCAGCAGATAAACAGCTTCAAATTTCTCTGAATCAATATCACAGATAGAACTTTCCAAGTCACTAAGTCACTTATAGCGACGAGCATAAACAAGTGTCCTAACTGGGAAATTCAGCAACTGGCAGTACATGTGGTGCCTCTGCTGCTTAACCAATTAACTTTGAAGTTTCTTTCTTCAGGCCACAAGACTACACGTGTGAAGCTCTGAGATCCCCCCCCTTCACTGCAAACAGTAGCTTTACTTTTATGACTCAAATAGTGAATAATTCATTCAGAATTTTTGGTAGCACAAACAGACTACATCTCAAATTTGTTATACAACCTTGTGTTGCATAATAGGAATTCAAATTATTCTTGACGAGCAAATTCAAAGAAGCTTTGTAGTGAGCCTTCTCTGCTTCTGTAGTCTACTTAAAAGTCAGTTGAATAGTTTGTAATGCATTCATTTTTTTTCATTTTCAGGGTGCTCAGCTAGACACCCCCACTGATGACCCAGAGGAGATGCTTAAGCCCGAGGGTCCATGCCTAACTCAGTGCATGAAGGTTTGTTTGATTCTTTCTCCTGCAAAGTTATAATCGTGAGTTGTTAAACCTTGTTATTCTGCAGTGATTAATCATATGAATTTTCTGTTTTTTCAGGGCCAAAAAGGGGAAAAGGTGAGTTACTGTATTTGACTCAGGCAAAACTGATGCATTTTTTCCTGTAACATTTCATAAACTCATTTCTTTATTTTTTGATAATCTTTTATTCTTTCAGGGAGACAGTTTGGGTCTTGGTCTGGTATGTTTGTTCTTACTTTATGTCGCCTTTTAAATAATACGCTTAAACTTTATTCTCCCTTCTATTCAGTTTTTCACTGGCCCCGCTTCTGCCTTGTATATTCAGATACACTTTTTTACTTATCATCAACCAAACCTTTAAAAAATAACAATTATTAATGTTGTTGTAGAGATTCAGACAAAGCCCTGGAGAGTTTGATCCTTTCACATCTTCAAAAGGAGAAAAAGGAGAAAGGGTAAGCATCAGCACATACAGCATATGTTAATTGTATGTGCATGAATATATGTACATAAATAATAATAAGGTTGTTTGTGCACATTACACATAAATGCCTTAGTTATTATTTGTTGTCTTCAACATCTGCCCTTTATTACCTTATACTAGCACATGCAGTATGAGTGACAAAAAGCAAAATAGTTTTAGCAACAAGAGTTGCATGTAAACAAAACATGAATTAAGATGTTTGTAGAGCATTTCAGCTTCAAAAGTATGTGAAACCTCGTCTTTTAAACCATTTGCATTAAATTAGTTCCCGTGTACTGTCTTCTTTGAATTCAGTATATACAATTAGTGTTATGTTTAAATGCTGTATCGAAACCACTAACAGTGCAGTAGTATTTGTGTCCCTCTGCAATTTGTTATTTAATATATATATATATTTTTATTAATATTTTTATTTTCAGGACTGACTCTAATGTCTTAATTTGACAGGGACTTCCTGGAACTGACGGTGTTCCTGGTTTGCCAGGTCGCCCAGGAAGAACTGGACCACCGGGTTCTGCTGGCCAACGGGTACCTAAAGTCATATGAAAATGATTTTACAGCAGTATAAGCAGTCCTGTGCAAAGAGTGTATGCACAGCTCTCTTGAGGTCCAAGCATTTCAGTCAGGTTGTGGTCTGAACTTCGACAGGACGTACGGAGATGGCCTCACATTTGATCTACTTATTGCAAGGAGCAAAGTTATCCCCCCTCCACCACCGTGCTTGACAGTTGGCATGAGGTGTTTGTGCTGATATGCTGTGTTTAATTTGTTGTGCAGTGCATCATAGGTCTGCATATAGTGCTACAAGAACGTTCCTTTTCTCACGCTTATATATCCATATAGAACAGAATTTCACACTTATCTGATCTGAACCTGAAAATATGATTACTTTCTAAATTTCCAGGGCCCTACAGGTGTTCCAGGTGACATGGTGAGAACAAAATATCTGTAAAAAAAAAAATAGATTGATTAATTGTGTCATCTATATTCTTTGGAGACTGTAAAGGATTTTTGAAACAGTCTTTTCATGGTAGGGTCCACCTGGGCTCCCTGGTCCAAAGGGACAGAGAGGAGAGAGAGTAAGTGTAATCCATGCATTTAATTTTGCTTTCTATTCATGAGACAGATGTTTATGCACTTTTAAGATTTGTATGCTGCAACAACAATGAACAGAGTCTTTTTTTTTTGCCTTCCTCTCAGGGAGAGCCGGGATACGTCATAGCTGGTACAGATGCAAATTTTGTGCCCGGACGAAAAGGAGAGCCAGGCTCCTCAGTGAGTTTTCGAGAAGGCAAAAAAAATAAAATAAAAAATTTCCCCAAAAAACAAACAAATAAACAAGTAGTTTTTGAAAGGTAATCTTTAAGGCATTTTAAGATACTTTTAACTGCATGTTACAGGGTCCCCCAGGACCTCCCAGTCTTCCAGGGGTCAATGGAGCTCCAGGTCTGCCTGGTCAGCCAGGATCACCGGGGCCACCAGGAATAGCTGTCAAGGTAACGTAAATTCAAGAAAAGCAAAGAAAAAAAAGGGCATTGTAATTACACCCCACCTTTTTTTAATTCATGATGTTTTATAATGCCTGTCACTGCACATCACATAATGTCAAGACAGCTTGGAGTATTTAGTATGAAGAGTCACAAAGATGTTTTGACAGCACAGTCCAATCAAAGCTGCTTCTACTGTTTGCACTTCGCAGGGAGATCCCGGCGAGCCGGGTACAAAAGTAAGTATGAAGGCTGTCTTCTTGTCGTTTTATACATTTGCTCAAAAAAAAAACCCCGAATCCCTACTTTTAATTTACTTTCATAAATGTTGTATATCAGCCTATTTTCAAACCGCTTGGTTATTTTGTTATATAATATGTCTTGTTGTGTTTGCATATCTTATAATATTTCATTTATTTTTGAAAGGGCTTACGTGGGAAGCAGGGCGTGAAAGGAGACAAAGGAGAGCCGGGAAAAGATGTAAGCACATAGCTGATAAAATGATAGTGTTCGGGCAGCTTAGTTAAGAAAAAAATAAAACAGAATTTGAGACGTTTCTGTGCCCGCTTTGTCTCTCACATCGCAAACTGACACATGTGCAAACTGCTGCAGGGCATTGCAGGTTTGCCTGGTCCCATTGGTGTTGATGGGGGACCAGGACTGCCAGGCCAGAAAGGAGAAAAGGTAATTTTGAATTACAGCTTTTGTGCTTATAAAGACCCTAAGTGCATAATTACTAAAAATACTTTATTGTTTGTAATATTTATTTTTTCTTGCAGGGTGAGGAGGGAGTTGGCATACAAGGTGTTCAAGGTCCTCATGGAGAGAAAGGAGAGAAGGTACCTTACAGCAGACATGAAGGACACAGAGTTTAGTCATCAGCTTGACTTTGGAGAATAGTCTGCACTGCATTAAAGACTGGATTATTTGTGTGTTTGTTTTACTTTTGTCATGCAGGGAGATATTGGATTAGCAGGACCAGTTGGCCCAAAGGTACCAAAATATACATTTTTAAACTCAGATTTTTGCTAATATTCTAAAGTAATCTAAACCCCCCTTATTGTTAAAACTTTATTGTGGGTTCACATGTTTCTTCACTTTGTCTTTTAAGGGTGAGCGTGGAGAGCAGGGCATCCAGGGAATCATTGGACCTCGGGTGTGCACTTTATCACCAACTGAATAGTCACATATGACTACCCTGCATGTTTTATACTTAAATGCATATAAATGAATTGCACTTCCTTCTAATAAAATGAAGCAGATTTATCACAGATAAAAGTGAAGACTGCATAACAATCATTGATGAATTAATTTAAAGCAAGTGATTTATTTATACCCGCAGGGGAAAAAAGGAATGAAAGGGGAGCCAGGAGACAAGGTGAGTTCATTCACATATAAATTCTTTCTGCTTTACAATTATCATGCATATGAATGTGAAGATTCATTTTAGATTAACAAGAATAAGGCTGCTTACAAAAAAAGTGTGCGTTAACATTTTCTTTCTTCTTTAGGGAGACCAAGGAGAGGTGGGACCAATAGGACCACAAGGACCCCCAGTGAGTGAGGATTGCATCTTATACAATGTGGCATCAGATTTATTAGTAATAATGATAATAATAATAATAAAAGTTTAATTATACAACGCTTTTCAAAACACAGTCACAGTTTAAAGATAAATAAATACAGTTCAACATACAGACACATAGTGACACATTCATTTCAACAGACACACTTTTATACACACAAAAAATATAAACTGTGGCCCATAATAATTGCGGAAAGCTAACTTATAGAAATGAGTTTTCGTCATTTTTTAAAAGCAAACCAATCATCCTGATAAGCTAAGAAAGGCTTTTCTGAAACCTCATTAGCGTGATTGGCTCTTGTTTTAAGGTAAGAGCATGGAACAATTAAGAGACCTCGATGAGATGATCTACGAAGTGATAAGTTGAGCAGACACATATATAGTTTATGTCAGAGATCTAAAAGTTTAAAGGTTTTAAGAGGTTTAAAAGAAAAGAGAAAATCTTTATTGTCAGACAAAGACTGAATTATCCTGCTACTACTTTTTGAGGAGTATGGATGAGACTTTCAAACCTAAGAACACTGCACCAACTTTCAAGCATGGTGGTAGCAGCATCATGCTCTGGGGTTGTTTTGTTGCCAGTGGTGCTGGTATATTGCACAAGTAATGGAATAATAAATAAGGACTGTCTCCAAACACAAACACTGTAATGTCCTTTCCAAAGTCCCGACCTCAACCCTTTTGAAAATTTGTAGACTATGCTTAGTCAGGAAATGCCAGAAAACCAACCAGTTTAAATGAATCCTACAAATTCTGCCAAGAGGACCCCAGCCAGAATTATCCTGGCGGGATTTGTGATCAGTTGTCGATGGCCACCTAAAGCATCCCGTCAAACTGCAACTTGCTGAGACACATTTAACCAAATATCAGTATATTAGAATATGCATATATTTGAACCTGTATGTACACCTTCGACTCTGTGGGGATTAGAGAAGATCGAAATAAATTGGAACAGATGTTAAAAGAATTTATCAAAAGCTATAAAGAAATCTAAAAAACAAGGGAGGGGCAAATGCAGTGTTTTTATTTTGCACCAGCTCTGAAAACTAAAAGACTAGCTTTAAACCTATTAATAACTTTTGCTAATGTCTCCAAGCAGACATTTAGATTGATGAATGAACAAATGAGGAAGTCATTTTGTTCTGGGTTTGGAAGATTACACTCTATCAGAGATGGTTATGATTGCATACATCCACGAGCCAAATTGTCAAACCTCAGTGGGTATGTTTTGCAAATGGGTCGTTTTTTTCTGCTTCAGTGATTTTTAATTTGAAGCAGCATAATCTTTTGGAAGAGATTGCTACCGGAAAAACTGTCATCATGAGGGCCATCTTCCTGTGTTTTGTAGTACGCTTTGTAGTCATTCAACAAGATTAGTTTTTATGATAAAAAGAAGAAATTGGTTTTGATTTGTTGGGAACAAAAATAAACAGCTTTTATCAGAGAGGCTTGGAGTTAACGGTCACAACGGAAGTGGCACTGACAGTTCACCTTCACATTTCTAGGGGCCTGCAGGACCGATGGGATTAAAGGGAGATGAAGGTCCAAGAGGACCTGCTGGAGACCCGGCGAAGGGTGTAAGAAAACCATTTCATATATTTCAACCTAGTATATAGAGGTTTTGCTATTAAACTGTCTTTTCCCTGTCACAACAGGTAATTGGTCCAGCTGGGAAAAAGGGGGCCAGGGTAAGTTACCAGTATGTGAGCTTTTTCCAGAACTTTTGCTGATCTGTTTCTATTTTCACCACTGAATTTTCCAATCAGTGTATACTACATCAACATTCTTCCAAAACATTGTTTTCAGCTAAATTACAGACTTCAAATATGTCAAATAGCCTTAAATGTCCTTGAAGAAATGCTTAACCTGTTGGGTTCTGGGGAAGGAGGTGATGGATATTCCAGCTGTCATAGGACATCAAGGGTATGGTCTGGATAGTTCTCAAGTCAATCATCGGGCACTATATATTCTTAATTACATAAGGAAAAGTTAAGAAAGGTGCTTTTAAAGTCACAGCATCCATAATCTACACCTTTATCATATGAGATTCCCCCATAGTGTTACTAACCGGCCTTTCCAGGCGATTCCTTTTACAGTTTGACTGGCTGACATCTGAAAAGGGAAACTGGTGTCTTTCTCACCATCTACCATATGCTAACTTCAGCCTACCTGATCAAAAGCTGTGGGATATAAAGCACACAAAAGAGAAAAAGCATGTCACCAGCAGTCGGTGCAGCTAGCTACCTGTATAATTCCATCTCAGCCTTCATTTTTGCCATCTTCTTATACATGTTTCACATTCAGGCAGGCACCTGACTGGTAATTGGATGAACCCTGTGTCTCATTGCACTTAAAGAAAAAGTTACATGTTGGTGGAACTGCAGTCATCAAGGAGCAGACGCCAACATTTTGGGGGTTCATTTATTACCTACACTCAGCATCTTACTTTTAGTAAAATCAGACAGTTTTTGTCTGTTTGATTTGAAATACTCCTTCCTTCCTGAGACATTTTTGGACAGTCCAGGGGTTAGCTGGCTAGCAGGATTTTAACAATCCTTTATAGATTTAGAATTCTGAGTTTGAGCTAATAAATTCTGGACAGTGGTACAGGATCCCTTTTTGTAAGCATAACCTCTATAAACTTTCATTTGTCCCTCTGTCAGTTTAACAGATATGATGTGATATAGATTAGCTTTCTTTTAATTAGATCTATGCTTACTAGTTACTAATGGTTGTGGTTTTTGATGTACCCATCATCTATTCCAGGGTTGCTTTTCTTTTATGGGAAACAATGAAGTAATCATAGTTGCTAACCACGTGTTTCAAACCTGTGAGATAATAACAGATAAGAACCTAATATAGAAGTCATGCTGTGGTAGTTGCAGTCAGCTGTGAAACCTGGATGATTTAATTTTGTTCTTTTTCAGCTGCGTACAAAGAGACGTTGCAAACTCTGTGTAAAGTGCAATTATAACAACTTTTTCTGTTGGTACGAGCTGCTCGTCTGCAGTTAAGGCATTTAAGATTAAAATAAGGAAATTACTATTAGTTCCAGGTAAAGGTTTTATCATTGAGTAAAAGGATTTAAACTACTGAAACTATGGGTGCTGTAACACCTTTTTTAATTTCTTCTCAACCAGACTAAGCTGTGTGCACGTATTTATCTTAAGTGAGTTAAAATAAATCAGCCAGAGGTGAGTAATTGAAAACATTGTTAATTAATTGGTGTATTTTTGCAGACTCAATCTCATGGACCCGCTTATCGAACACAATTAAAAATTTTCTCTCATTAGCTTTTTCAGGGAGACTGAATGCTCTGTTGGATGGCACATAATTAATGACAGTCCACAGGGTCCATTTAGAGTGGAGAGAGGTTTAGCCTTCTCTTATCAATTGATGTACATGTGCTCATGTATGTGTTCTCTCAGGGGGACATCGGTCCAGTTGGTTCTACAGGCCCTCAGGGAATAAAGGGAGAACAAGGAGACAAGGGAGAAAAGGTTGTTATGGAGAGATATTGTCCATCATGGTCATTTCAATTTTATTATTGCAGGATTAGAGCAAATAGAATAACTGAATATCATTTTATGGTACGGTTATGGTTTGTTTTGATATGTGCAGGGTAGTCCTGGTTTTGGGATTCCAGGACAGCAGGGGCAAAAGGGAGAAAATGGAGAAAGGGTGAGTCATTTGATTCTTTAACGCTGTTGCCATCCTGGAATCATAAAGCAGGAAATTGCTGTGTGTTGTTGTTGTTAGATGTTTTATTAGTTTCATTGTTTACAGGGAAATGTTGGTTTATCAGGAAAACCAGGACAAAAGGTGAGTCATCACTGGTTACATTAAGTTCTTCTCATGAATTATTTTTTCTGTAAACAATGGGTCAAAATACTACATGCAAGGTGAAAACAAGCAGTAGTATTCAAGAACACATAGACTATAAACACATACATTAATTTTGTATTTTTGGATTGACACCTTTGCTTAATTTTAGTTTTTCTTCTATACTTTTTCACTAATTTCCAGTAATAGGAGGCAGATGTGAAAAAAAAAAATCCACACAATCATTCTGTGCAGTCTGCTGCATTTGGGAAATTTGCACAGTACGTTGCTACAAGTGAAAACAGAGGTTTTGTTGGTGGGCTATTCAGTGTCATGTAGGGGTCTACCTGAAATTATGTATGATTTGTTGCGTTTGTCCACGATCTTTTTTTTGTGAGCACTTCGCAACACCTGGCTTTTCCACACAAGTGTTTGGCAAATCTTGCCAGATAAATCCATGCCTAGGCAAAACTTCATAGGAGCTAAGGGTAGACATAAACATAGACAAGGCATAGACATGTTAAAAATATTTTTTTATGGCCAAAAATTCTTTTTGGTTTTAAAAGTTTACTAAATGTTAATTTCAGTTAAAGTTTAAAACACTTAATTGAACCACTTGAATAACGTTTGAATTACGCCATATTACTAAACAGGGCAAAACAGCGTGTGAGCACAATCCCCAAATAGTACTCATAGGGTGACTTTACAGGTGATTTACAAACATTGTGCTCCTTTTCTAAACACAGTCAGTTAATTTCATTATCAAGTACAAAAAATGGGCTAAATATAGTCTCAATATCGGTGCAATTCTCAGCAAATTGTGTGTTGCAAATCAATTTGTGTACTGATTTAAATATGCTTCTACTTATAATTTACGACTTGAGAAAGGAAGTCCCAGAAATGGAGCAGGATCACTTCCTAAAGTCAGCCCACCTCTTAGATGCAATCTTGCCACTGCACTCTTTGTAAATACAGACAATACCGTTTTTTGTTTGTTTTTTTTACATCAAAACCCAAATTGAGCTGGCCGTTAATATGTTGTACAATTCTACAACAGATTTGTATTAAACAATTAAAAACCCCAATTATTTATTTTTAAAGCATACATTTTTTTTGCTGACATTGTAAATCAGAGGTCATGTCTTTGCTCAGGGGAAAGATGGCTCTAAAGGTGAAAAAGGGAGCATTGGATTACCTGGCAATCCTGGAGAACCGGGATTAAGAGGTAAAGATGTAAGTAAATCCTGAGTGGCCGTTACAGCAACTATGAGTTTTGTTTGTATGGTAGGTACAGTGGAGTTCAGATTTAGTTTGATAAACAGGTCTATTCAGAAACAATGGTGTCAGAAAAATGCTAACAGTGTGAAAAATTTAACTAATGGACCAGAAAAAATGTAATTATTTTATCTCTTCCCTTTTGTTCACACGTATATTGTGAATGTTAGCACATTTGGCTAAATATTTCCTACTGCTTAGATTTATTGTTTAATTTGTGTGTAGGGTGCACCTGGAGCTATAGTAGAACCGGGAATGAAGGTAAAGTCTATTTGTTTGTTACGTGACTGTTTTGTTGACCAGCGCTTGGACTTTTAAACATGTTGCTTTTGAAGATTGTTATTTTTAAAATGATTTAACATCCCTATAATCATCCCCAGCGTCACATATTACCTCCACGGAGTCATTTAATTTGTTTTCGCAGGGTGAACAAGGACCAGCTGGAGAGCCTGGTGAAAGAGGAATCAGGGTATTTGTTCAACAGTTGTAAAGTTCAAATAAGAAAAAAGGAAAAACAATACTTCCCACAAAATTTAGAAAGTAACTTCAAAATGTATTTTGACAAAATCTGAAAATGCGACAAACCAGTATGTAGTATACCGAATGTGTAGTTACAATGCTGGCCAGGCTTTAAATCTGACACTTTTATTTGTGAAACATGAGTCAAGGGCTAAATTCTTCCATTTCTTTCTACTTGTTGATCAGGGTCCATTGGGATTACCAGGAAAACCAGGTGACACTGGAGAAAAAGGTGACCCTGGCAAGCCTGGCCCACCTGTAAGTTCTTTGCCATGATAATTAAACTTCAGTCAGCACAACTGTGGTCAAAAGAAGATTGTTGTTTGAAGCTGTCTTACATTACTCATTAAGTGAGAAACAGCATTAAAAGGAAGAGCTGCGGTAAAGATGGGTTGCAAAGGGGCTTGGGGGTATGCAGCAGCTGTGCCCCTGCTGAAGGGGCCTTCCTGAGTTAATGCTATGCTTTATTAAATGTACACTTTTAAGAAGATCCACTTATAGGATCCTCATCTTTCTGCTTAGTATGTGTGTACAGATCAGTAGCTTTATACTGTACTATAACTAACTGTAATAATTCAACTGAAATTGCAAAACTTTAACATTACCTGAGATTTCTTTTCTGTTTTGAAGGGTGCCGATGGCAGAAAAGGTGACAAAGGAGAGGTGGTAAGTTTGTATCCACCATCTCTCCCTCCCTCTCTCTCATCAGTGAACATGTTTGGTTTTTTTCTCCTGGCTGCCTGCCTTCTGATTATTCTTCTGTGTCAGTCACTGTTTCATATCTTCTCAATCTGCTATCCTCCTGTGTCATTCCCTTTTGATAAGTTAAGTAATTAACTTTGTTTTTTGTGTGTTTACCATCCTTCATTGCACCAAACTATTTTTCCTTTGTCTTGCAAATATTGGATTTGTTTAGAACTATGACGTTGTAGATTTTAACTGTGTTTTGTCTGTCTTCTTTTCATTGTGCTGTCATCGTCATAAAGGGAAAGCCTGGACCTCCGGGAACACAAGTAAACAAATCTCTATAATTACTTGATCAGTTCAACCATGTTTGACAGAGGCGCTTGTTAAAGCACAGCTTGTAAAAAGCCTCATTCCTCCATGAGACCTTATGTCTGTTTCCAATCAACTGAAACTGTGTTTGTTAACAATTTAACTGTCATTTTATTCAATCAGACTGGTTCAGACAACATACTGACCAGAGTAATTAAGGTAATTTGAAGAATAGCACATTACAACTTTAAATTCATTCAGTTAAGGAAGAATTAAAGGTTTTTGCCCTTTCCTTCTTATCAGGGCGATCCTGGAGAGCCAGGTCAGCCAGGTTTGCGAGGAGAAATGGGCCCGCCTGGGCCACAAGTGAGTATTTTCACCATATGAAGTAACCAACAGGATGTGATACGCAGTGCAGTGAGAAAGTCTTTTCGACTTCCTGTTTTCTTAATGTTTGCATATTTGTCACATTAACATGTTACAAATCATCAAACCAATTTTAATATAAGATAACCTGAGTAAAAACAAGTCTGTTTTTAAAAGACGATTTTTTTTTTATCAAGGGGAAAAAAAGCTATCCGAACATATATGAAAAAGTTAACTGCCCCCACATTTTTTGAACATTGAGTTCAGTTTCACTAGCCACACCCAGGAGCTCAAAAATCACGCCATGACAACAAACGAAGAGAAACAGGATATCTGATATCTATCGGTCGGGAAAGCCATTTCTAAGTGTTTGGTACTCAAGTGAACCACCACGAGAACCATTATCCACAAATGGAGAAAACTTGTAACAGTGGTGAACCTTCACATGAGAGGCTGGAAACTCAAAATGAAGCGAAGAGCCCATCAACAACTCATCCAGGAGATCACAACTGAACTCAGAACAACATCTAAAGAGCTGCAGCCTTTGCTTTTCTCAGTTAAAGTTCACGATTCAGTGCCAAAAAGAGGACAAAGTCTCGTCTCACATTTGCCAAAAATGTGAGATATTACATTTTTGTAAAATGTAAATATAAATGTAAATATTACCCGATGAGACTAAAGCAGAACCTTTTGGAAGGTTTGAGTACTTTTACATCTGTTGTAAAATCTCACATTAAAGCAACACAGCCGTTCATTAAAAACAACCAACCGACAAACACACCAACAACAAAAATGATGGTGGTAGTGATGGTTAACAGATGTTTTGCTACTTAAGGACCTGGACGCCTTGCTGTAACTGATGGAGCCGTGAATTCTGAGACCAGAAAACCCTAAAGGAGAATGTCCAACCATCAGTTCACACCCTGAAGCTCAAACACGAGGTTTTGCAGTGGCCAAGTCAAAATCTGGGAATAATCAGAACATTTTGGCATTATCCTTGAAATGCATTGTGCCTTTCCTGCTTGAAAATCCTAAAATCTAACTGAATTAAAGCAACTGTGGAAAGAAGAGTGGACCAAACTTTCCTTCACAGCGATGTGAAACACTCATTGCCAGTTACGTCAAACTCTTGATCACAGTTCTTGCTTCTAATGTTGGCATAACCAACATTTCTTCATTGGTTTTAGAGGAAACAACTTTTTGACATGGGGCCAGGTTAGTTTGGATAACTTTTTGGATCTGTTTTTAATCATCGTTTAATAACTGCATTATGTATTTACTCAGGTTATTTTTGTCTAATATTAACATTTGTTTGATGATCTGAAACATGAAAGTGTAGCAGATATGCAAAAAAGAAGAAACCAGGAAGAGGGCAGTATACAGCACTATATCATTCATGCTAATGACCGTTAATTCTGGTTCTTTTGTACTTATTATTATTTTTTAGAAGTACTAAGCAGCCATTAATTTATGGACAGCCAAAAATTAAGTCCATTAACTTTTACCTTTCAGGACACAAAACTGATCATTAATCTAACTTGGTAATCTGTTTAAAGGGGCATCCACACAGGAAGTGATCCTAAATTCATTTACGCTATTCTTATCTATTTCTTTTTTTTAAATCAAAAGTAATATATTTTTCTTGAATGTCTTGAAACATCGTAATGTGTCTGTCCAGGGTCCAGAGGGGAAACCTGGATTACCAGGACAGTCTCTGGTATGCATGTGCATAATTCTAAATTGCACTTACTGTGGTTCTGTTTCTTTTTGTTTAATTACAAAGGTGTGTTTAATGTAACTGTTTGCCTTGCAGGGTGATTCTGGAAGAGATGGATTAGATGGCTTACCAGGAAAAACAGGAATGAAGGTTATAAAAATGTTTTATTGAAATTGCACATTCAAATATTTTGAAAATTTCCATGTAAATGGCATCGCGTGCACTATATTGACAAAAAGTATTAGGCCACAGATCTTCATCTCTGAAATGAGATCTTTTCATTCCCACTGCCACCAAGCCATGCCATATGCCTTTACAAAACTCGGTGTTTTCCTGTAGCAGGGTCTCATTATTGCTGCAGGGCAGTTTTGGAAATTTCTTTAAATAGTATCATTGCAAACATCACATAGACCATGTAAAGTTACAGAGCAGGGGTCATGGAGTGCCAAGGCGCATAGTGCCTAAAGGTCACCAATACTTAATAAAAACTGCGCGCCAGGAGCTTCATGGCATGAGTTTCCATGGCTAGGTGTAATGTGTAAGTGGCCCAGTATATTTGTACATATAGGGTATGCATGAGTTTGCTCACAAGGTGTCTTATGGTAACCGTAGGGTGACCAGGGACAGAAAGGAGAGCCTGGTCCGGTGAGTGGATGAATTTTTATGGAACTTAAATTCTTGTCATTACCGTATATGGTTTACTGCCCTATTAATATTAGCATAAAACAAGTTATCACTGAGTTACAGTGTATTATCTCACTTAACAAAAAAGAATAATGAAAAGAAAAGCTAAGATGCAGTCATGATTTTCAGTCTTTATGTTCCGTATATCAACTTTATGTGTGCTTATAGACACCTAAGCTTTTAGCATGTCAGCAGCTATTTTGCATTGCTGTGGAGTGTTTTACTGCCTCAGTGATAATTTGTCCAGTTTGTAATAACATTTGTCATTTTAATTTGCTGATATTTGCAAAAGGAGACTTTTTTTTCTATGCTTGTAAACAGAAAGGAGAAAAAGGAGATCAAGGCCGGGTTGGGATTGCTGGGATGCCTGGCTTACCGGGGACTCCTGTGAGTTTCACTCCGGCAAAACCATTATCATCCATTTTTTATACACTTTTAATGGTGACAGTCTTTAGTCATTCAAGGCAATATAACAAAATATATTCTTGCGTCAGGTGTGTAATTAGCGGGAGCCACATGTTTATCCACGATAATGATCAATCTCCTTTTTCATTTCCTCTTCTCTACAGGGGAGACCTGGCATTGATGGGAAGAGGGGCCTGCCAGGAAAAGATGTGAGAAACATTTGACAATTATACCACTTTGCTATTAGATATCACCTGGATTACTGTTTTATCCAATTTGCACATTTGTTTGCCGTTTTCTAGCTCTTTTTAGATGAAATTACTTTTTTTTCACAGGGAGAAAGAGGACTCAAAGGAGATGACGGCAAGAAGGTTCTTAGATTTGCTGCAGCAATCAAAACATTTATGAAGCTTTTATTCTCCATTTACTTGTGTTAACTTCACTCTTCATTCCAGGGGGACAAGGGAGATGCGGGTGCTGATGTAAGTGTATTCACATTTATGAAGGAAAACACAACTTAGTGATGAAGTTGAGGCTGTAACTGGATGATGCTGTTTGTTTCCTGCAGGGTAAAGATGGTAGTAAGGGTGAACCAGGGCTTCCAGGTTTGCCTGGGAGGCAGGTGCTTGTCACTCCTGAGGTAAACATGATGCAAAATGACTTCATTTTTGGTGACTTGTTTATGACTACACCTGTAATCACCATTGGTTTGACTAATTCCTCATTTATGCTGGGTGTTGATTCAGAAAAACATCACACAGTTTGACTTAATATCCATTTATCCCTTCTCAGGGTGCTACCATTGATGAAATCCGACAAGCATTCCCAATGCCAATGGGTCCTCCAGGACCTACTGTGAGTTTGATGCTTGTGCACATGTTTCTGCATATGTATAGCTTTCTTAAAAAATGGCACATCATCTCTGCTGTTGCATGGCATAATTCACTTGTCGCCTGCATGAAATCTAAGTCATCATGCAGTGATGACTACAGTGCTTATTTTTATTGTGGGCTACAATGAGAACAGATATGGTGAGCTTGATGTCATGCATTGTAGATGCATGTTCAAATGTCCTGCTCCTCTGTTTCTGTGTGTTTAGGGTTCTCCAGGATTGAAGGTAAGGTGGTAATGGTGCTTATATTGAGGCTGAGTTCTTAAAAAAAACCCTGAAATATAGCCTTGGTTGCTGATTTGTCTTGTTTTGCAGGGTGATAAAGGAGAAAAAGGCCTGAAAGGAGAAAAGGTAATGCTCATTTGACTTATACATCAGAAACATGGGAATGGAAATTACATTATGCTGACTGCATTTATTTTCATGTTTCTGCAGGGTGACGCTGGAGCTCCAGGAAAATCTCTTGAGATGAAGGTTGAATAAAGGATATAATAATTTCTTCTGTGGCATACATGTTCTCATTTTACATTATTAAGTATCTGAACAACGTATTTTCACTCGACTTTAGGACATTGAGACAATGTTTGAAGCCTACGGTATAAAGGTGAGCTCTTTGCACCACATTGTATAAATATGCAATAGTGTAATAAAAGTAGAGTTCAGCTGTCTAAATAAAAGCTTTTTTCAGCTTCCTTTGCTGAAGGCTTTGATTGACAGGTTGCTGCAGGATGGCATAGAGGAGCTGCTTCATGTGCTCAGCAACTCCAAGAAAACAAAAGAAAACACAGAAAGGCACAACTCCAACGTCATCACTGACTACAAAGTACGTAGACTATTTTTAGACTGTATACTGTATGTTTACATTTCTTGTTTCCAATACCTCAAACTTTTCAAAACGACTACTACTGCTATTCATTTTATATTTTCTCGATAGAGTTCGGAGAAATTTGACATCACCAGCAGACCTTTGTCAAAAGCGGACACTTTTGAGGACACTGATGTAGACGGCCAGCCTCCTGAATCTTTCTTTGTTGTACGTAACCTCAGCCTAATCTAAAGAGAATGCTTGGGAACAATAATGAATCTATTAACCTACCACATATTTTAGTGGGTACACCTGTTCGACTTTTCATTAACGCAAATATCTAATCAGCCAATCGTATGGCAACGAAACACTGCATGTTCAAGATGATCTACTGAATTCAACATGAGCTTGATTTTGAATGTGTTATGGCTGTTGATGCCAGACGGGCTGGTCTGAGTATTTCAGAAACTGATAATCTGCTGGGAATTTCCTACACAACCATCGACTTACAGAGAAGGGTAAAAAAAAAGGGAAAATATCTAGCGAGCAGCACTTCTGTGAATGAAAAATGGCTTGTCAATGCCAGAGATCCAAGGAGAATGGTCACGCTTTGAGTTGATAGGAAGGCAACAGTAACCCAAATAACCACTTGTTTCAACCAAAGTATGCAGACTAGCATCTCTGAATGCACATCGAAACAGGTACCACTCCTGTCAGCTAAGTATAGGAAACTGTAGGCTACAATTCTCATGGACTCACCACAATTGGAGAAGTGGAGGTTTGAAAAACACTGCCTGAGTCTTTCCTGTGATGTTTCTACTTTGACATTCGGATGATAGGGTCAAAATTTGATGTAAACTGCGTAAAAGCATGGATCCATCCTGTAATCCTGTAATGGTGTGGGGAATATCTTGTAGGCACACTTTAAGGCCCTTAGTACCAACTCAGCATTGTTTAAATGCACAGCCCAACTCAACATTGCTGCTGACCCTTTATGACCATAATGTACCCATCTTCTGATGGCTGATTCAAGAAAGATAACACATCATGCAACAAAGCTCAAATCATCTCACTGTAGCCTACAAATTTGCAGTAATTATGTGTTGTTATCATGTCAGTGTGGTCCAAAATCTCTGAGAACTGTTTGCAGCAGCTTGGCGAGTCCATGCTTCATCGAACAATGTACAGCTCATGTTCTGAATATTTATTGTTCTACTAACAGTCCTTGATATTTATTGTTTAAGGTTCTGTGTAATCTTGAGTTTTTCAGCCGTCTCATACCTTTGTGCATTTGCATTTTATTTGAGCTTGTGTGGCTTTAAATGTTTTCACCATGATCCTGGAGAAATGAAACTGTGTTTGATATAGTTTATCACCAGTTGTCACTAATATGTATTTTTTTTACTTCTCTTACTGAAGGACCCTTTAAATGAAACTGCAGAGGATCCAACTTTATGGACCGTCAACACGCTGAATGGAGAACTGGAGCATGACACGATTGAGACCAATTTAAAGGAGACAGTAGACAGTACTGGAACTTCCTTTAAAGTTAATCTGACTGTAGTCAATTCTACTTCCAATTATACAATGACCAATGAGGTAAGGCTGTCACATTTCATATTTAGGCACTTTTAGATGGAAGAAAGACAGAGTGTAAACTTTCAGTGCCATTTTTCTTTTTTATATTTTCTATTATTCCCTTTATTTAAAGAAATAAAATGCAAATAAACTTCATAATAATTCCTAAAAAAGTCATAAAAGTAATTAATATATATCTAACATTCACATAATATTTCATAAAATGCTTTGTAAACTCTATTGATGTACATGTCATACTTTAAAAATCTAAACAATCCTACATTACAAAATATTGGTGTTATTTATATTCGGATTGCATTTAAAGTTAAAATTTGTCTGTAAGATGTTTTCAGGGTTACCTCAATCTGTAATGGAGACTGTTCTCCTCACTCAGGAGGACTCACTGAAGAAGAATTCAGGACAAAAGAAGAAGAACAGGGAACGTGGGAAAGTAAAGCTACCATAACTGTCTTATTGAGGGTTGGGTTTTAGATAGAGGATGGAAAATGGGATACATCTCCATCAGTTTACAATGAATGCATATTACCAAAGGACCATACAGGTGTTTGATGTTTTAGCTTATCTCTTCTACTTAGCATACACATCAGCTTTTACTAAATGGATGCTTCTGTTTTGATGTTTATGCTAATTTTAAGTGATTTGGACTCTCAGTTGTGATATTACTGCACAGTAATGTAGATTTGGGAAAGTGCACTTGTAGCACCAGTGAAACAGGGAATCTAAATATGGAAAATTCTTTAACGTTTACATTTTATTGAGAATGATGTGAGTTTTATTCTTTAATTTTAAGGGCTGCTCTAAGTTATGGTAACAAAGTTAAAGGCATGAAAGAAGTTAATATGAGTCACGTCTAGGGTGCCACAAAAATACCTGAAAGCTGATATTTGTGTCTCTGTTATCAACTGATAATGTGTTCTTTAAATATGCATTGATTATAGTTTGAAGAATCCCTTAAAATATATTTGTCACTAGTGGTTAGTATACACTGCCCAGCCAAAATAAAGTTGCAAAGTCTAATATTTTGTTGGATCCACGTTTATCTTTGATGACAGCATTGCCAAGATATTGTTTCGATAAGCTTATGCAGCGTTATGTGTTGTCGTTCAGCGTTGCATTAATTTTTCTCTAAGATCTTGGATTCAGTCTTCCCCAGCACATCCCAGAAATTCTCAGTGGGGTTAAGTTCTTGACTCTGTGGTGGTCAGTTCATGTGTAAAATAATGCCTCATGTGCCCTGAGCCGCTCTTTAACAATCTGAGCCCGATGATTCCTGACACTGATATCTTAGAGCAGCGGTTCCCAATCGTTTTTGTACCATCTACCAGTTTAACGCTGGACAATTTTTCAGTCACTGTATATTATACCAAGCGAATGTGGAGGGTGTGAATCTCGCGATGAACCTCTTAATTTAAGTATGATTCTTAATCTCTTTCTTTCTTTTGTTTGGCATTCTGAGATCCCTCTGGTGACTCATCTTTGGCTCTTTCTTCCTGTTCAAAGAAGTTCTCCAGTGACATTTGTTTTTGGGTCACTGGGTTTTCAGACTTTGTGATGTATGGAAAAAGATTTAAGTGCAAGAGTAAGGTTTGGGTGAAAGTGTCATTTTTTGGAAAAATAAAATACCCGAAACTCTATCTATCCATCCATCCATCCATCCATTCATTCTCTGCCGCTTATAACTTTCAGGGTCACGAAGGGGGGGAGGAAGCCAGAGTACTGGAGAGAACAAATTTATTCTTTCTTTGGAGCCCAGTGCAAAATAGTCCTCGGCCTGGTGATCTGGACCTCAGTTTTGGAATATCCCTGGGATAAGTTCATTCTTTCGGCACATAATGGTGGTCAACCATGATCTGACCAAGTGAAGCAACCCAAGGTCAAAAGGAAATGTTCTTACTTTGACTATGATTTGATTTCACCAATCGATCTCCAATTCTCTCACTGATCGCATTACGTCCTCGAAGATGATGGCACACCACTATCCTTTTAATAATGTGTTAGTTAAGTTATTTTTAAAAGTTTCACCTGTCTCCTTAGTTGTTTTCTTTCTCGACGCAGGTCTTTTCCCCGACTGTGGGAAATCATCACGTCTTCTGCTTTGACAAGCTACTCACTGCATCAGTTAGGGTTAAATAAACTCTTGCCATTCATCATATGAGCCTTAGTTTAATCCATGTTTTGCGGGGGATGCAGTGTATATGTGTCTATATATATTTAAATCACATGCGTAGTGTATCATATTTTAAAATGCCAGATCTAGCAAATATGATTCAAATTAAAACTCATATTTGCAAATTACTATTTCATTAAATTTTATAAAAATTGTCACAAGGTTAAAAAAAACAAATTTTGAGTTTTCTAGTAATTATCTCATGGTTCAGTCTTTAAAGGGATATACACATAAATCGGATGGGCTGAAATATGTAAAACATCAGGTATGGTCCTATAAATACCATAAACAGCTCTAAACTGTTTGGTAAAACTAGATTTCATGTTTTTTAATCATCCTAATTTAACGGGATTTTTATTCATTTTTGATAAACATTAATTACTCATTTCCCTAAACTTATCAGCTGCAGTTTAGAACTTGATCATCAACAACTTCTGAAATATGGGAAACCTTCATCTTTTCTCTCTCTGATTGTGAACTTCTCAACCAGGGCAAAGGAAATAAAGGACGACATAGGAGGCAGAGACAACGCTTGGTAAATGTCCTTGAACAACAGATCAGAATAAACCCAGAAACGTTACTTCACTTCAGCCCCAACTAAATTAAAATGTCTAACCTTGCAAAATACAAACATAACTTTATAAAAAAAAGATTTAATGAAACATAATCCTAAATTAAAAGATTGTGAATATAAACACACTGAATGAACCACGTTTTGCACCCACAATATGCCTCATTTAACTAAAAGCATGCATTGATCCTGATGTCCATCTGCTTCTCACTGTAATATTAACAGATTACATTTGCTTGCTCGTTATTCCAGTTATTCACACGTGATAAATAATGCTGTGCCACAATTCCTTCCTGTTATAATTGCTATTTCCTTTTTATCCTAAGACAAGTGAAGAGGCCAGGCAAGACGAAGAAGACGAGTTTTATAACGGCGAGGATTACAGTTATGAATACGAGGTAGGCAGCTGCAATAATAAATCAGTAATTGATGCACCGTTGGAAGCTTAATTTTAATGTGATGCTGATGATGTGGGGTTGTTCCTCATTTAGAGAATTGTGAGCGCCTTCTTGTTAACAGCCCTGCCAAACTCATCATCCAGTCACCTGCATTTTTTTTTTTGTTTTTTCTTTTTTTCTTCGTAGCAGTATCTCTGGAGACTGAATTATATCTGCGCCCACACAAATGCTGCAGAGATCTGATTAATGACACACCCACTACCTAATCTTAATTATTACGAATAAATTAGTTTGTCATTACAGCCCACTTCATCCGCTCTCCACATCATCTACCGTGGGCTTGAGTGTTTAAAAGTTATGACGAGATTTTTTATTTTATTTTTTCAAAATAGGAAGAACTCACCACAATTGACCCCTTAATCCCTCGGGACTTCGGGGAAAACAGACTGGTAAATATTCTCTCATCTGTTTCAGCTGGACTGGGTACAAATGTTATGATTCATTTTTAATGTGACATGTGTTCAATTTCTTTAACATGCGCAGCTTGAAGTCCAAACAGATGAATTTCCCCATCCAGTGGATGATAAGGTGATCATTTGTAGCCCAATAGCTAACTAAAAGTAATAAACATTTCTGTTTTACCTGAACAATAATACATTTGTGTTGCTTTTGATTTGTAAGGAACAATTGCCCACACCCAGTCCTGCCCAGGTCGAGACCTTAAGTCAACCTATAACAGTCTTCTCAGACAGAGAAACGGATGCACAGGTGAAACAAATGTTGTGCTATCTTTGGTATTTATCTTTTGATCATTTTTATTCATTCAAGCACAAAACAAGTCAGGGACCTCTGCCAGGTTCCACTAAGAGTGAAATTACAGAGGGAAGTGTTTTAATTGTATGGACACGCAGTTCTTTATTATAAAGCAGAAAGAGAAGAAATCACCCACTGAGTGCCAACATAAAGTCAGTGCACAGCTACCTGCTGTGCTTCACCTTGCACATTCTTCACCATTTCTCCAGCTTTGCACCTACTATATGGGAGAAAGAAGGATCAGCAGACTAGGTGTTTTTCTCCACCTAGTTGGTGTCGCTACCCTCAACCATCCTGCCCCACCTCTCCCTCCTACAACTGATCCAACATACCAAACCCTCCCACCACACTGTCATTATCCACATATGTCGTATGATAATGAAAAAAGCCTAAAGTCCAGGTAACTGGTGCTCACATGACATAAGAATGCCCTGGACAAACAATAAACCCAGGTAGTTCAGTCAGTATAGGCAAAAGAGCCTGAGCCGCATGTTGCATGGACATTTTAGGGATGACTGAGGCTCTTCTGGTAAAAGGGTTTGTGTTCAGCTCCTCTGCAGTTTGCATATTAAAGTGTTGTTATATTCTGAGTGTACTCTGGATGTGTGATAGTGTGAAAAAAGTCCCAATTTTTAGCATTGAGTTTAACAGTAGCTATCCAATCTTCTTTCAATAAACAGAAACTGACATCACAGAGCAACTTTCAGTACTTTTACCTATAATAAAACAAAACATTGAAACCTGCTAGCTTCATATTTTAATGGCAGATAAGTGCAAGCTTTCAGAGTAATGACAAAAAAACTCACTTTTTAAAAAAACGTTGTAAAATTTACCAATATGCTGGGGGGTTTGCATTCAGACTTGTGTACTTATTTGTCCCCTCCTAGGTTATCTTGCCAACCACAGAGTCACCCTCTCGACCCTCTGATGATATAGAGAAGGTATTCCTGGGCAGCTCGGTTCTCATGAGAAATATAGGGCATTGTTTACTTTTTCTTTCTTTGTATTTTCCTTGACTTTCCAAGTGACATTTTAACTTTAAAATTCTGATGTGTCTTTTCAGTCTACACCTCCTTCGGCAACAGAAGAACCAGATCAGGTGGAGTTTTCATTTTAAGTTCTACAGGCTTCCGTCTTAAAGATCTTTGCATGCCTTGGACTGAAAAACTTTATTTGCACTTATGCACAAGGGTCCTGAAATTGATCTGCAAGTGCTTGAATAAAACAGCGAATGGGCTTAACTGCAGTTGTCAATAAATAAACCATAAGCAGCACTTTCATCATTTTCAAGACCCCTTTCTTTCTTCTGCTTTTGATGAAAATTTCACCAGTGCAAAATAATGCAAGTGTTTGTTTAAGGCTGATGTGAATACATGACCAAACATGACCAAAGCATGAGCGGCATACTTTTAGCATGATTTCTCTAAAGCTTGTCTGAATGCAAATGAGCAGAAAATATAGTCCAGCTGTTCATGAATGATTTACTGAGAAAAGAAATCCAGAGAGTTACTTTTAATACTTTCTCTCTCTCGTTTTTTTAAACAGGAAATCTCTTAATTCCCGAGAGACTGAGACTATAGAGTCTTAATCATTCATAAGAAAGCACTACACGGAGAGTGCGAATAAACTGTGAACCGTTTTCTCTGGTGATGAACCCTGAACAACGTCGTTTCATGAGGGGGGACTTCTTTCCGCACAGAGACAATGTCACTCACCAAAAAATACCGTATACCATACCAGAGTGTTTTTTCTCTTGTTGTGGCTTATAGAAAATTAGGCACCTGAAAACTGTCCTCGTATGTAGGTTGTGTTTTTTTAAGCTTGGTCAGTGTAAAAACCAGTGTAGCTTTACTTACCTACCAGAAACTCCTAATTTATTTATGACAAGTATTTTTCAGTAAATAAAATAGAAGTAAGCTTTCTTCAACATGACAACAATTTGCATACATACTTCAGGAAATACAGACATTTTATTTATTAAAACATGGAAATACTAAGGGTTTCTTACTTTACCATACCCTGTGAATACCATAGATAATATTTAGAATCTAGTTTTACTATAAACACATATGTAGCCAGATCAAACACTTGTTACGCTGGTGAAATTTATCTTTATAATTATATTGTCTGTGTTTAACCTCTCTGTGCATGTGTGCTTAAGTAAAAGTGACTTTCTAAACAACTCTGTGTCTTCCTCCTTTTTTCTCATCGTACAGTACTCCACAAAAGTCTTGAGCCACCCCTGATTTCTTTATATTTTGCTTCCAAGGAGCCAGACTTTCTTCTCATATTTAAAAGTCCTCTTGAGCAATAGTTCTCATGGCTTTCTGAAGTTTCTTGTGAAGGTTTTCTTTGGACATTGACTGCTTTTTCACTCATTTTTAGTGTAGTCTTGTACCTTAATATGCATTTTTGTTTGTTAAGCTACTTCACGCTGAACTGTTAATTATCCAAGCATAAAATAGCACCGAACTCAAGAGGTGAGCCAGCGTTGTATCTTGAATTTGACAAAATTTGAATATACATAAAATGATAATTCCCGAAGATGTTTTAGTTAAAAACCTGCATATCTTTGCAGTGCAGGGTGTTCTGAAAGAATCTGAGAAACCAGACAAGAAACACACACACACACACACACACACACACACACACACACAAACTATGCAGTAGATGTCTGTATCTGAAAGTCGTGTCCTTAAGAATCAGGAAAAATCCAGCAAAGACACCTGGTCGTTCAGTTGATCCATCTGTTGAACTTAGAACTTTTTATTGTCATTGTACAGTTGCTTGCACAATGAAATTATGTAACAAGACCACAAGGTGTCAAAGTAAAAGACAATATGCAGATATATAAGACAAACTACAGGAACACTATCCATCCATCTGCTTATCCTTTTTTCAGGGTCGCGGGAGCCTATCCCAGCTGTCTTAGGGCACCCTGGACAGGTCGCCACACTGTCACAGAGCTAACGTATAGAAACAGACAACCATTTGCCCTCACATTCACACCAATGGGAATTTAGAGTTTTCAATTAACCTAATCCCACGTCTTTGGACTGTGGGAGGAAGCCAGAGGATCGGGGGAGAACTTGCAAACTCTACACAGAAAGACTGCAGACCGATGGAGAAATTGAATTCAGGACCTTCTTGCTGTGAGGCCACGGTGCTAACCACTGTGCTGCCCTACTATGTACACTAGAGTGCAATAAATAATAAGTAAGGGTGGAAGGGCTATGGAAATTGCAGATCTGCCAAAATATTGCACAAGGGGAAAAAAAGACACATTAACATAATAAATACAGAAAAGCAGCAACAGAATGCTAGTATGATTAAAGAATTGGTTCCGTGGAAGTAAATAAGTAGTTCAGAATAACAAAGAAAGCAGTGAGTATATCTGAAGGGGGCACCCAGATTTGAACTGGGGACCTCTTGATCTGCAGTCAAATGCTCTACCACTGAGCTATACCCCCACCGATACCTGAAGCCTCATCAGAAAGAAGCCATTCTTAAGGGAGGATGGCAAAGAACTGGACTGAAAACCAGTGACAACAGGTCTGATTAAGAGATGAAACAAACTTTAGAATTTTTGGTAAGTAATCATCATTATCTGTGGAGGAGGTCAGGAAAGCAGTACAACAGTGAATATCTACAGCCATCTGTAAAACATGGTGGAGGCTCTGTCATGGTTTAGGGTTGCATTTCAGCCACTGGTGACCTTGTCCGATTTTGATCCACTATGCAATAACATCAGAAGGAAAGTTTCTGATTGGCAAACAGTCATGATTGTCCTTCCCAGAGCCCAGACCTGTTGAAGACAGTAAATATTCAAAGAAGAGCTTTGAATGCTCTTCCAGAAGCCTGGACAATTTCTGGCTGTGTTAAAAAATAAAGATGATAATAGCAAATGGACTTTCACCCTTTTAAGAATTGTACAAACTGAAAACACAATGTCAGATGCTGTGTTTTTGTGTATGCCTGCACATGTTTGTTTCCCATTTTCCTCAAACAATATAAAGAAATTAGAGGTGGCTCAGCACTTACAAAGTATATAAACATCAATCATCATAAATGATTTGCTAAATTTGCTTATGAAGGCTCTGTGGGAGATGGAAGTGCCTCAACCTGAAATCAGGGTGAAAAGAGGAACATTTTGGCCTGACTCCATGGTAAGCATCACCTGTTTTTGTAGAAGACTAATGAATGATTTTTTTTTTTTTTTTAAATCATGAAGTAAAATCTGTATGTTTCAGGCGTTCATGCCAGGTGCCCCAGGAGGACGAAATCGGTTTAAGAAGGCACAGCAAGTACAAATTTTCATCTGATAGTTCCATGTTTTAAAAAATTTAAATCAATTTGCATCTAAAAAAAGTGTTGCTTTGTACTCATTTAAATTACAGCACATCTCCTCTGGAGCTCAGGGTTACAAAATCTGGAGCGTAAGTCTGTTTTCAACAGTAGAGGTCAAGTGTTTATCCAAATCCAGATGGATAGATGACTTACAAATACGCTGATTTGTGTTTTTAGAAGGATGAAAAAGAAAATCCAGGCCTTCAGACACACAGCCGGAGTGAGAGACAAGAAGCACGAGAGAGATGGAGATACATCGATACAGAGACAGAGGTTCCCACAGAAACAATAGGTGGAGGAGAGGAAGAGACAAAAGCGGAAGTGGAAGATTGGGGAATGGAAAAAGAGAAAGAGTTAATGCCTGATTTAAAACCAGTCCCTGATCCAGTCTATGAGGAGGAGGAGAGAAGTGGAGACAATGACTGGGAGACAGAGGAAGGTGTAGATCAAGAGAAGGAAGAAGAGAAGGAGGACTTGGAGATGGAGAGAGAGAGGGATAGGCTGGAGATGGAGAGAGAAAGACAGGAACTGGAGAAAGAGAGGGAGGCCGAGCAGGAGAGGGAAAAAAATGAAAGCGAAAGAGAACTGGAGCGGCAGAGGGAGGAATGGGAGAGGATGAGGGAGGAGATAGAGAGGAGGAGAGAGGGAAATTACGATGAAGAAGCTGGACTGCCGTACCCATATCCCCCGGGGTATTATTTACTGAAGGTAAGGGCAAAAGAGTAAAATGTAAACATGTTACACTTTTCTTGAAATGTTCGATGACTGTTTTACAAATGAGCTGTTTATAGACATGATGATGATCACTGACTGTCTTTTTTGTGCAACAGGGACAGCCAGGTGAAAATGGAAAACCAGGACAAAAGGTGACAAGATTTTGAATGTTATGATAAAACTTTATTGAAAAGATTAAAAAGGGGATAAAGCCATCAAAATTTGCAACAGGTGGCTCAAGCCTTGCAAGAAAAAAAATAGTATTATTTAGCTGTTAAGAGTCATTGATCCATCACGTTTGCCGCAGTTGCTAGCTAGTTTATGCCTCTAAAATTTGTTAGCTGTGTGTGACTGATATTCTTCCATCCTAGTGATAAATATTGCCCAACATCAACCTTGAACCAACCCTTTGAAATAAAAGATATCTATGCTGAAATGACCGAGTCGCTGATACTTTCCCACTGATTTCAAGCATTATTTTTATTATCATCTTAAGATCACAAAGCAAGAATGACACATGTCCCCACATGAAATGTTCCACCAGTTCATAAAAATATCATGGATGCTCCCCCTCCTCCCAACACTGCATCTGTAAATGACATCAGAGCTCAGGGAGAGCTTCCCTCCCGTCTCGCCTGTCACTGAATCTGGTTGAGTCCAGGGCTTTGATGTCCCTCCTGCTCTATTTCTGTATGACTTTGAGACAGTAGATTAAAGCAGACATTAATAATTCCCCTTGTTAAACATGCTGACAAATCCTGTTTTTTTTTTTATTTCAAATTCCTCCGAGTTAGTTTATTTTGGCACATGAAAAGGATGTGTCACGGTGCACTCCGTTATTGTAACTCATTTCTATGCACTCTTCAGGGCGAAATTGGTGAAAAGGGACAGAAGGTAAATATATAAAGATTTAACTTTGCTTTTTAAATTTTAATGATGGTGACTGCGCAGATGTGTTCATCTGTTTTGTTATTTTTAGGGGGAGCCGGGCATCGGTCACAGAGGGCCAGAGGGTCAGGCTGGTCCTCCTGGACAGAAGGTAAAATTTCTATTTCTCTGCTCATCCCTTATGGGGACTTTAAAGACTGATTTTAATGTTATTAGACTGACTGTCAGAACTGTTTCAAGTGTGCTAACGTAATAAATAACATAAGTGTTTAATCAACTAGCCTTTTAACCTTTTAATATCATAAACTGCATTAGCTGATAGCTGTCATCCAGATATGGGGGGGGGGTTACTGATGGTTACTGGTCTGTACACCAGTTGAACTAAAAATCTTAATACATTTATTTGACCACCTGTCATAAAAACATAAAAACACTAATCTTTTAGAAATTTATTTAAAAAATGTTATTACATTATTAGATTATTATATCGTTATTTATTTTTTAAACATAACTTAAAAAACTAATATTTTATATGGCCTCCATTAGTCTTGATAACAGCTTGCATTCTTGATGCCATTGTTTTTATGTACTTGTCCCTTTTTTCGTTGAGTTCCAAATAGTTTCCAGGTGTTAATATGGACTTTGAATGTCTTTGTCTTTGAATCCGCTAGATTATGTCTCGTCTTATGTGTCTGAGACCACATCTAGCATCATGAAGTACTTTAATGTGGACTCATTCCCTTTCAGTGAGCATTTTACCAGTTTAAACTGAAGTAAAGAATTTCAAAATGAATTGTTTTAATGAATGAAATGAAATGTTTTAATATCCAAATTTGAGCCGGCATGCTGGACATTCAAGCACTAAATGATTTTTCTGTTTAGAAATGGTAAATGGCCTGCATTTGTATAGCGCTTTACTCAGTCCTTAAGGACCCCAAAGCGCTTCACACTACATTCAGTCATTCACCCATTCACACACACATTCACACACTGGTGATGGCAAGCTACACTGTAACTACAGCTGCCCTGGGGCGCACTGACAGAGGCGAGGCTGCCAGACACTGGCGCCACCGGGCCCTCTGACCACCACCAGTAGGCAAACATGGGGTCAGTATCTTGCCCAAGGATATTTGGCATGCAGCCAGGAGGCAGCCTGGGATCGAACCACCGACCTTCTGATTAGTGCAACTAATGAACTGCAATTTGTCATCTTAATCAGAAAAATAATGATGTTCTTTACTATTTTTCATGTTTTTTTGTAAAACAGTACATTTGAAAATTGGACAACAACAATAATTATATTTTAGCATTCAAAATATCATTTTGATTAAAGAGTTTGTGAATAATGGTGGATTAAGCATTACAAAAACATAACAAGTGGATTTAGTAATTGCCAATAGTTTTAATTTAGGTTAGCATAGACCTTATAATGGTGGGCTGTGAAATACATTTAAGAGCTCTCTCTCCATATATATATATATATATATATATATATATATATATATATATATATATATATATATACATACATACATATACATACATATACACACACACACATGTCCTAGTAAATTAATTAGCCCCCATAGACTTCCATAGCATTCACTTTGAATGACTTCAATTCACATCACACTTTTAATTTGGAGCATTTAATTGACTCAGTGACTCATTCAAAATTATGTTTGAGCTTTTAATTTGATAAAGGCAAGAAGGACCTTACTTCAAAGCAATTATTCAAAAGTAATAGAAAAGCTGAATAACAACATTACAAGAGACAAGTGACCTCTGATGATGTGCTCATCTTCAAACACTGAATTTTTTCTCTTTTTTTCCTGTATCCTTATTTTCTGCCATGGTGTTGCCTCAGGGTGAGCCCGGCGAGCCAGGTCCTCCAGGTGCTCAGGGCATTCAGGGAATCCCTGGCAATCCAAGCATCCAGGGCCCCACAGGTCTTAGGGGTCTTCCAGGGGACCCAGGAGAGGCAGGTAGAGAGGTATGTCACCATACATTATCTTACACTGACCCTTAAACTCTTTTGAATGCCAATACAATATAATAAATGAAATGATCTAACAAATGAAATAATCTTCGAGAGAAGATTCATTCTCACAAAGATTCGAGAGAATCTTCGTGAGAATGAATTAATAAGAAGAGGTATAGACAGAGAAGGTTATAAGTATTACCTCACTGCTTAAATAATAATGATGAGGTATGATGTTTGTGTTGATATTAGGGCAGCCGAGGTAAAAGAGGGAAGAATGGCTCCCCAGGATCTCCTGGACCTCGAGGACCGCCAGGACCTCATGTATAGAAAACTTAACATATCATTTCTGTCTTTTAGGTTGTTTATTTCTATGCCAACCTTCTACGCTAAAAATCACTGCTTGTTACAATTTTGTTTTTCATTTTATACTTTTGTTTCTCTCTGTTTTATTGCTGGCTGAAAATGAGTCCAATTTCTTTTCGTACCACCTGATAGGGTATTCCTGGCATACCTGGAGAAAAAGGAGAAAAGGTAAGTACTAATATTATGCACAGTTGTGTAAGCCAAACTTAAAGGATGGTGTTATTGTTATTTTAACATAAATCTATTTGCCTCATACTACAATTAAGCAGTTTTTGCCACTTCAGAAATGATCATTTTCCCTTCTTCATTTTACCAGGGTGACAGTATACCAGGTGAACCTGGTGAGAGAGGCGTAGTTGGCCTCCCAGGTAAAAGGGTAAGTTCCTTTTTACATATTTGACATTTGGTGACTATGTTGTTGGTGATGTTTAGACCAGACAGGAACTGTAGTTTTTAATCTTTTTATAATAACAAAAAATCAGCGTTGCCATGTTTGCTTATGCAGGAAAATGTTTCTTTTCAGGGTGACAAGGGCTCTCCAGGTGTTAAAGGAGCTCCTGGGCCCATAGTAAGCAACTTTTCAAAACCACACAATTGAGCATGAAGTTTTATATAAAACCCTTAGTGACATAGAAAAATACACTATCTTTCACCCTTCTTATAAAAACAGGGTCTTAAAGGACTGAGTGGGAGCAAAGGTGAAAAGGTGAGCTGTTGCCATGACTGATGAATCAGTGACGTTTCTTGTTTTCATCTTTTTTAAATCAATTTTCTGAATTTTTTTTTATTAGACGTCTTAGATTACAGCTAATGAGACTTTAATATAGAAAATTACATATATTTTATATTTAAAGGACTATACCACCAAGTGCAAACTGAAAACTCTGTGTTGCACTTCATGCAAACAGCACTCAGGCTATGCTGTGTCCAGCTTACCAGGCTCTGAAATACAGTGAACTGAAATTGCTGTCGTGTTGCTTGAAGCGCCTCAAAACTATGTGACACAGTAGAGTCAAAAAATATTATTTAAGTTGATGTGCATCTTTGTTTCTTATCGGCACTAACACTGTTAACAATGTATAATTACAGCAAGAGACACACAGTGTGTGAAGGAAATTGCCGTCCCGGGTTTCCTCCGTGGCGTGAGCGATAAGCAGAGTTTTGTCCTTTCCTTCTAAGATTCCTAATTATTTAAAGTAACACTCAGGTATGCCATTCAGCGTGTTAGTACGAGCTCGGGAGCAGCTTGGGAGAACAAGAAAACAGAGACTGCTTTAGGTTGCCTTCCCAATCGACTCAAAGGTTTATTTGATACACAGCAGTTTATATAGAGGAAAAAAGGTTCGTGTGTCAGCTTTCCCAGTTCAAACCGGTACAGACTAAATAAGGAAACGTCTTCCTGCCTTGTGAGCCAAGAAGTATCCTGTGTGTAGTTTATCAGTTCAGCTACAATTTATGATCATCCCAGCAAAATACACTCCTAGACATAAAATACAGAGTTCTTTCATTAGTGAATTCTGAAATGAACCACCTAGCCTTTAACGAGCCTTTTCCAGGAGATAAAGAAAAGGGAGGATGGGAGTAAAGAAGTGGTCTCATCTCTGTGGTGTTTTCGACCTTCTGGTACCAGCTTGTGAGTCCTACACATTAATTCTTGGGTCATAGAGAAAGAGAAAAACAACTAGTATATGGGCCTTATTGAGTAACAGTTTTCCTGTATAAAACAATATCCTGTAAATGCTACTATGGTATCAAAATATCATAACAGTGTGCATATTAGGACAATGTTTCCATTCATGCATCCATCACTGTTGACTGCAGGGAGGATAGATGGACTCAGTTTATCTGCGACATAAGCATGTTGTAATAGAACAAGATAGCGAGCATATATATTTGCATAAGTACTAGCTGCTTTTATCTGTGCAACCAAAGCAGTGAAATGAGTGACTGGATGTTTTTCTATTTACCCTGAGGATTTCTGTTAAACGAGTGCATGAAGCATGAAGCTGCTATAATTCTCAGGTGCCCGAACATCAATAAACAGCTGCTTGCGATTTATTTTTACTTGCACATGACTCACTGACATTAAGATGTGAATATTCTGCTCTATTACAGGCACATTTATGTTGCAATTGTAATTTCCCGTTTGTTTTTAAGTATCAGTGGGTACAGGCTGTGTTAAAAGTGGTGTCACTTGTTGGTCAGCCTGCATTCATATTTGTTTGTCTTCTCAGACAGTGTCGTAACTAAAGTTTTGCTGGATGATTTTATTATCTATGATGGTCATGTCAAAAACCAATAAAATCTCATCATGTTGTGCAGAACTAGCGTTCAACATATTTTATACTAGAACTACTACAATGTGCGTGCATTTTTCTTGTATTGAAATTGAAATCATCTTTTTTGAAAGTGGATTTAAAAATCAAGTTTTGTTTTCTTTTAGGGAGATCGTGGATCACCTGGAGTCAAAGGAGAAAGGGTATAATGAGTTTGTCTTGCTCTGTGGTTAAACACATTGAAAAAATGTGTGTCAAACAAGACATATGTAAGATTTACAGCTTTATACAAAGGTTAAAGTTCCAGTAATACTCATAATATAGATTTTTTCTTGTGCCTTTAAATCATAAATCATTTGTTTGCGGAATGCAAACAAATAATCAAAGAATAAAGTTGTTCTTTAAATTACAGCTGTTGTTGGAATTTAATCCTTATTCCTTGTGAGAGTAACCTCTTCTGACTTTACAGCTTTGTATTTACTGTATCTGTGGATATACTGTCATATTAAAATTAAAGTACACCCTCTTTCAGTTCAAAGGTTTTATGTATACATAGATAGGCTTTATGTGTGTGGCTCCATACTGTAGTCGTTTACACATTTGTTAAACAATGCAAAAGATCCTCAGTACAGGACCAGGAGGAAACACAAATCCCATGGGGGCTGCATCGGGATGCCCATTGGGTGTAAAAATGTGCCAAATCATAATACACAGAGCCATCTCCTGCAGCATTCCCTGTGAATAAAAGAGCAGACAAAGAAACTTAGAAACTTAAAAATAATTAGTTCCTCAGCAGCTCTTAATATTATGTAAATACAATTTCAGATGAACAGCAACACTTGAAATGTTACACTGTACCATTATTTATTTAACATATATTAACACATACTAAGCCAGACTGCAAAAGTAGTATGGGAAAAACCAACTATATTTGTTGAAGAACAGCTCTATTAATGTGCTGGCACAGCATTTGAGTCATGGTGAGGTCTGGACTTTTACTGAGCCATTGCAACACCTTGATTCTTTTCTTTTTCAGCACTTCTGTTGTAGATTTGCTGCTGTGCTTGGGATCATTGGCCTGGTGTATGACCCAGTTTTGGCCAACTGGGTAGCTGTTGGACAGATGGCCTCACAGTTGAATCTAGCCTATTTCTAGTCTATCTCTATTTGGTATACAACAGAGTTCATGGTTGACTCAATGACTGCAAGATACCTAGGTCCTGTAACTGTAAAACAATCCCAAATCCTTACCCCACCACCACCGTGCTTGACATGAATATGATGTTTTTGTGCTGAAGGCTGAAACTAAAAGAGGGTGTTCTTTATTTTTGAATAAGCTGTATTTACATTAGTTTCATACTGAGTGTACAACTGAATTCCTTTCTGCAGGGCGGTGTGCTTCAAATCCAAGGACCTCGTGGCTATAAGGGTTCCAAAGGACAGCCAGTGAGATCCCACTGACTTTTTTTCTATTACTCATTCCACTAAAATGAGTTTCAGTACAAAACATATTGAAACAACTCAAGCCATCTAACACATACACAATAAAAAGAGCTGAAAATATAAACTGTAAGCTTAAAAAAATGTGTGAAATTACACAAAAAAGCTTAATAAATTAGCATTGAAGAAGTGTGCGGGCATTTTGTTTCAGGGTGAGCGAGGTTCACCTGGTTTTGACGGGGATAAAGGAGAAAAAGGCGAGGACGGTCCTCCTGGGGTCAAGGTAATGAATTCAGATACAACGTTGTTTAGAGTTTGGAAAAGTTTGCAGGTTACAGAGTGTAGTACCAATCATGTCTTGCTTAAAAACATCTAAAATCTAACTAATTAAATGTTTTTAAAAGGGTGTAAAAGGTAATGCGGGTATAAAAGGTGCAATGGGAAGATTTGGAGCACGGGGCCCGGTAGGACAAAAAGTAAGTAAGTTAGGCATCAACATTAGTTCAAACATTCATTTCTGGCAGCTCTGTGTGTGAAATTGTCACGATTGTCTGCAGGGAGATCCAGGAGATCCTGGAGTCAATGGAGTGATGGTACTGACGTCTACGACATTTAAAGCCAATATTCAGTATTAATTTAAGATGTGATCAAGTGAGATAATAACAATTTAATTTGATTGAAGGGTCGCAATGGGGCTGATGGGCTGGATGGAGCCAAAGGGGATAAAGGAGACAATGGACTCCAAGGACAACAGGGTAATCAGGTACTCTAATGAGCAGTTTATAACTACTGACAGCACCTTTGATTTCTAAACATTCAAATACAGGTAATTTAGTTTGTCATTCTTTTATTTTTTCCATAGGGTGATCCAGGAGAACCTGGCTTACCAGGAGAAAAAGGGGAGAAAGGGGAGAAGGTGAAGAATTTCCATTTTCATATTGATTACTTTTTCCTAATTTGTCACCTGCTTGTGTATCTGTGTTTTAATGAATTAAGTGATGTGTTTCATGCTTTTACAGGGTTTCAGAGGTTTTCCTGGGCGCACTGGGAGCCTTGGCCTGAATGGAGAAAAGGTTATCCCTTAATTTGATTCTTATTAGATTAGTGAGCTGTGTTAGGTTATGTAGCGGTGCTATGTGAAAAACTTTCTATGCATACTCCATATATGTCCCTGCAAAACAGGGAGATATGGGGCTACCTGGCACCCCGGGCATACCTGGACTGAATGGGGTCACGGGACGCAAGGTAAGCGTTTAAGTGTGCCTTTATTTCCCCTACTAATTTCCCAAGCACGCACGCACACACACACACACACACACACACACACACACACACACACACACACACACACACACACACACACACACACAAATAAATCAGTTACTGTTTCTCATTTTGTGAAATGTTAGGGGGACAAGGGAGAAGGGGGGATCAATGGTGTTGATGGTGATCCTGGAGTAAAAGGGGAAAAGGTTTGTCAATTCAAAGCCATATGACCTGTGATTTTTTTATCCTAGAGTTTATTTTCATATCTTATTAAAAGATTGTGAAATCTGTTTATATTTATATAATGATGTAACTTTACAGTGGTTTAGTCACTGTGATCAAAATTTTCTTTTAATGAATTCAGGGTGCAGCAGGTTTCCCAGGTTTCCCAGGTTTCAAGGGGTCAGCAGGAAGTCCAGGAAGGGACGGTGATATGGGACCACCGGGACCGCCAGGGCCTCAAGGAGACAAAGGGCCTAAGGTACACTATACCCAACTCTTTAGGTACTTGTACTTGCTGATGAAACACAGGCTCATTATCAATAACACAGTCTAATTATCTCCAAGATACCTGCTGTTCCCCTGATCACGACTTCATTATCTCATGATAACAAATTAAAAGCAGTCTAGCGCTGTCTTTACTTTTCCAAGCACCTATTCACAAGTTACGTGTGTCATCAGTACCGTCATACAGAATCGTCACTTTTGTCTTTTAGAAATGTGATATTCATGAGATGCCCTCTACAAGCTGTCATCACACAATATCGGGGCCAAAAGTTAGAACTTATCAACAGATATTAACTTTTTATTTCAAGACTGGCACGCATTAGTGGAGTAGTTGATCACTACTTTAATGGGGTATGTTTTTACTCAACACTGAACATGAAGGCTACAGTCTTTAACTAAATGATGCAGTCACAATATAGTCACGTAACAAAAACTTGTCTTGGCAGCACTAAAAATGGGGCTAAATTAGAGGCTCCAGACATAAAGGCACAAATACGCAATGAAGTATGCAGTTGAGGGAAACATATTTCTATTAGTATATGCCCTATCAGAGTCTTATAATGTATATGTTTTTTAATTTAGCAGGTTCACTAAATTGGTAGTCCATTTATAGAAAAGAACGGGCACCTGTGCTTCGTACATAGCTTATATCACTTACTCACAAATACATTTTTGAACTTTAAAGCCCAACAAGAGAAGACTAAATATGTGACAGAACACAATGAGCAGGAGCTGAATTGATTACAGTCATCACCGTGTCTTTGTAAGAGAGTGGCACCAGCAGTGGATACAGCAGAGACATGTCCTCAATTAAAACACACACACACACACACTGAGAGGTCTATTTCTGTCTGCAGCTTTCAAGTAATATCTTACTCAATTAGCTCCTTTCAGCTACAATTACTGGACTCTCAGTGTTGACAGAGAGTGGCTGGAAACCTCTAATGAGGATATTCCAAGGATGTGCCTAATTGGTCTGTCTTTCATATTGTTTAGAAGTGAGTGATGAGGTGTGCTGCTATGGACATATTTTCTTGTTGTTGATGATTTAGAGGTGTTGTATTTAAAAATATATATTTTCCCTGTGTGCACTTGCATTTTTTGGTCAAACAGGGGGACAGGGGTAAAAGAGGCAGATCAAAGAAGTGTCAGAGTGGAGCACCAGGGACACCAGGACACAGAGGAGAAAATGTGAGACACACAGCACTCGCATCTCTACACAGCTTTCTTCGAGCACACTTGTAATTCAGAAACATCCCTTCATCTATACTATTTCCTGTAACTTTCACAGAGCTAAAGTATATAATTTTGCTTTATATTCATAATAAACAACATAAATATTCATTTAAAAGTACCATCCACATCCACATTGCTGGTGGTACAGGGTCCGTGTGTTTCTCCTGCCAGAATCTGTGTTTAGTACTTTTGGCTAAACTTGGGAGGCAAAAATAAAACACAATGCTGAAGTACTAGTAAGGAAAACAGGTTGCTTAGAAGACGGGGACGAGGTCTGCGATGGTTGTTGTCCTCAAAGATATTTCGGTGCATAAAGATGGCAATTAAACAGCAATAAGACAGAGTCGGTCTGCTATCAGTTTGCAGTTGAATGCGTCAAGCATCTGTTTCTGATAATATGCCGATTAAGTGTGATAAATTGGGGAAAATGGCAAATCTGTTGCCATCTGTTGCAAATCTGTTGCTGTCTACATCCACAGAAATTCACATTAAACAGAAATTCACATTTACTTCTTCCATTCAGAGTCGAATAAAAACCTCAGATCTGAAACAGAAATTCCTCCACAAATAGTGACGTAGCTGTTGCAGTACGGTAATTTAACTGCAAAATTGTCACGGTCTGGCTGGCAGACCGTGGGGATGTGGGGAAAAGGAGGACCCAGGCGCGGTACTCTGTGTATAAACAGTGCGTTTATTTACAGTGATGGAAAGTAACAATAAACCCCAGTGTATTCCCCAGACTCCCGTGTCGTGTCTCCCTCGTGCTCTCTGCTCCCGTGTCAGCACCCCCCAGTGCTCGCTGCTCTCCCAAGCCTTCCACGCTCCACCTGTGGGAAACAATAGCGGCAGCTGTCAGGACACTTAGGAATGGCAGGCATACACTTTAAGACAAAACCTAGATGGGGTGACTAACGTGGAGTCTCATGCAATGATCCCGCGTCGGTGGGAGCTCCAAGACTCTCCTAAGTAGCTCCCCCGGCGAGCCCTGATCAGCGGCAGGTGTGTGGCTTCGGGTGTGGCCAGTCCCTCTGCAGGGCCACACCCCTCAGGCCTGCAGGTGGCCGAGCTCCATCCTCCAGGCACAACCCGCAGACATACACACCCATACCTCGCCTAAACATATGAGTGGGACACAGACTAACACAGCACAGAGAAACACACATATGTACACGCACAGAGAAGGGGAAACGACACCAAAAATACATAATAATACACAGGTCCATGACTGCCCAGGGATCCTGGGTTGCCCAGTCCCAGGACCCTGACAAAAATGACATAGGCACTCAGCAAAATCGCTGAAAAGTTACGTTCACCGATGCAGACTGACTCTGATTACTGTTAATCTGATTATGTTTTTAAATTACATGATAGATACAGTCCCGATCAGAAGTTTAAGACCACTTGAAAAATGGCAAAAAAATATCATATTTTGCATGGTTGGATCTTAACAAGAAGAAATGGGAGTGAGACAAAATATTTTTTGGGCATACAGTTTATTGCAAGCAACGCTTAAATTGAAACAGGCTGTTTTACAGTTGATCAAAAGTTTAGGACCACATGCCTTTAAAAGGCCAAATCTGTGCAAAAATGTGGATTCATTGTCATTTTTTGTCAGGTAGTCACACAGTCATGACGTTCTGATGGCATTTCCTTTTTGAATGTGGTCGGGTTGTTGAACTGCATAAGCAGGGTCTCTCACAGCGCACCATCACTGCTGAGGTGGGACGCAGTAAGACAGTCATTTGGAATTTCTTAAATGATCCTGGGAGTTATGGAACAAAAAAGTAAAGTGGAAAACCTGAAAATAATTTCACCAGCAATGAGCTGGAGAATCTAACTGTCCGTCAAGACACTGGACAATCCTCGAACCAAATTAAGGCTGTTACTGGTGCTGACTGCAGCCCCATAACCATCAGACGGCATCTGAGACTGAAGGGCTTCTTGGCTGTCTTGAAAGGCCTCGTCTCCTTGAACGCAACAGAAATGATCCTTTGGACTTTGCAAGAGAGCACCAAACATGGGACACTGAAAGGGGGAAGAAAGTTTTATTCTCTAATGAGAAAGAATTTAACATTGATGATACAAGCAGATCCCACCTGAGATATTGTCTACGCGCCACAGTGGAGGGGGGCGCCATAATGGTCTGAGGTGCTTTTTCCTTCAGTGGAACAATGAGGTGTCAGGAGGTGCAGGGGCATCAAACACTATAGTTGCTGGCTATGTCCAGATGTTGCAGAGAGCATCCGTCATGACTGAGGGCCCTCGTCTGCGTGGTAATGACTGGGTTTTTCAACAGGACAACACTACAGTACACAATGCCTGCAGGACAAGGGACTTCTTCCAGGAGAATAACATCACTCTTTTGGACCATCCTGCATGTTTCCCTGATCTAAATCCAAATAAGAACCTTTGGGGATGGATGACAAGATGAATGAACACCAGCTCCATCGAGTAGATGCCCCTCATGCGGCCGTCTTCACTGCTTGCAGTTTCCACTCACCTCATGGAAACACTTGCATCAAGCATGCCACAACAAATTTTTGAAGTGATCAACAATAATGGTGGAACTACTCATTACTGAGTTCATGTTTTGAACTTTGATTTCTGTTTTGGGGGGGTGTTACAGGTTGTTTTTGGAGGTGTGGTCCTAAACTTTTGACCAGCTGTAAAACAGCCTATTTCAGTTTAAGCATTGTTTTCGATAAATTGCATGCTCAAAAAAATGTTTTGTCTCACTCCCGTTTCTTCTTGTTGCATGTTGAAGCTCTACTTGGAACCTTGTTAAGATCCAACCATGCAAAATGTGATATTTTTTTTGCCATTTTTTAAGTGGTCTTAAACTTCTGATCAGGACTGTATTTGCAACCCTTCAACAATCTGTTTGAGAATGATTGAGTTAATGCAAGTCAGACTGGGATTGTTTGGAGACAGGTTACCTCCCTCAATGTGTGCAATCACCTTGAACATGGACAACCAGTTGGTTGCTGCAACTACTTGTAGTTGGTTACAGTTTGTCTTTCTATTTTTACTCTAGTGTGACAGAGTCATTAGAAATGTTTAATTTAAATGAAATTATTTAAAATGCATTACACACATTATTGGCTGCCTGAAGATATTTTTCTGGTCACCAAGAAAATATTATCTCTTCTTTAAGATATTTTCTTGTTTGGTCTCCAAAACAGATCCAGCCCACATTAGAGATTAAAAGATGCTCAAGGCTCTGTTTAGATGTGGTGGATTGAAGAGTTGTCTGTTTGCCACTAATGAGTAATCCCTTTGATGTTGCACATTGTTTTTTGATACATTGATAATGTAAAAGTGTGGCTAATTATTTAGTTTTAGTTTAGTTCTGTTGCGCCTTTATTTTGCACAGCATTAAAAGTATTGCAGGTCTGTCTGCAAGAGACTTTTGATAGTCATACTCAGTAGCTAAATAAACACATCCCGTCCAACAGTGTTCTTTTAAAAGCTCTGTCCCAAAGGCACTAATATCTTGGCTATCTTACTAAACTTCGTTTTGAAGGTATTGTGTCTATGTAGTCCTTCGCAAATACCATGATACCATTACATAGAGCAATTAATGACACACCAAATCAGCTGAATAACATTAGCTGTGTTAGCAAACTGCAACATGCAGATTTCAGACTTCAAAAATCACCAGTAGTAACAGACCTTTTTGCCTAATCATACCTCTACTTTTTTTTTTTAAATGGTCACAGTTAAAACACTCTTGTTCCAGTGTTTGAACTCTCATGTATTCTGTGCACAAGCTCAAATAAATGGTTTAGCATTGACAGTAAATGTCACTTTTTGTTTATATTTAAAGAACTAGAGCCCTGTGCAAACTGGTTTTTTTAACACATGCAAAACACACAGCAATAGAACAATCAAGAGATTTAAGTATTTTGATTTGATTTTAAAAATTGGCTTGTGACCTCATATTTAAGGGCACTATATTCTCTCTCACGTATGTTTTCAGTTCTCAGCCTTGTAGTCTCCAGATCTGTATTTTTGTATTTCATGTGTTCACCAAAATAAAACACATGATTGCTGCGATGTTCACTTCTGTAAGTGGACATTGTGTTAACACACACCTGAATGCTTTCAGTCTGGCACACCACTAAAAACCTTTTAATAGAGGTGGTCACACTTGCTGTGAAAACTTTCCTTTTCACACGACTTTTAGTCCTTGTTAGATCTAAAAGGTGTAATAAGCCAAAATAAGTGAAATTACCTGCATGGCTGCCTTCTCCTTAACTGAATATTGTGTACATGTTAACTTGAGAGAAGTGTGGGTCCAAATATGTTGTTGTGCCTCATCACTTTTCAGTGCAAATGTCAGTAAACTGTCTGAATCTGTCATCCAATATAAATATAACATGTTAATATCTTTTCCTTTTAGGGTAAAGTTGGTATTGAAGGAGCAAAAGGGGAGAAAGGAGAGCCTGGACTCTCAGTACGTCTTAGCACGCTTGCACACTCACACGTGACAAAAGGCTAAAAACTGACTTGTCATTTAAATTATTCACATTCTTGCATTTCTTCGTTTCAAGGCTGAAGAAGTGAAGGAGCTAGTCAACCAGGAGGTGGTAGAAAAGTGCGGTAAGAGTGTGCTTGTGCGCACGTGTTATTCGTTTGTACATTTTCAACCTCCTACAGTACGTGCACTTGTACTTCATCCATGAGTGAATAAACGTGTGCCTCTAGATAGGCCTGCATATTGCGAACGCGTGCTTGTTTGTTGTAGAGCTCCCGTGGCAGCAGCATGGCACCCGTGTGTGTTCAGCCATCTGTTATGTTCTCTCAGAGGAACACGCATCATGGTGCCAGCAACAGCAGAGCCATTCACAAACACAAGACAGCCATTAAGTAGAACGCCTCACCCAGATTCCACGGCACATTCACGATATTTGGAGGCTGATTGTCTGCAACACACCTTTTTCACTGAAGACATTTTGGCATGCCGTATGTGTTAATGGAAAGATAGAATGAAAGCTCTGTGACTCAAACCACAATTTGAGATGATCTTAAATTAAACTCAATTTATGTCACGGCTGATGGAAGGTATGGACTCAAGCGCGGAGCTCTGGGTTGAAGCAGACAGTGCGTTTATTTACAGTGCGTGAAAGATAGTCCTTATCATCAATATATCCAACAATTGTCCTTTTTCTCAGTTCCCAGAAGTGGTGAAGGTGAGTTTTCCCGTGAGGTCTGTGTGCGCTCCTTCCGTGTGAGCTCCTCCTCCCGAAAACACCAGTGAATCCTTTACTCCACTCCTCCGTCCCGTACTTCTCCAATCTGAAAGTCGAGCAAACACAACAACGGATGAGAAGGCTTGCCTGGCCACGCGGGTGACAAGATCACGCGCACACTTAGCTACCGAGCTCCGAGTACAATCCAGTGTTGACTGCCGTCTGGACACATCGTTAAATACCTCCATCTAGTGAGGAAAGATTAGCGGCAGCTGGAGCCGAAGATTACACTTCCGGGTCAGAGATCGGCCTTTCTCACTCTCTCGGAGACGCCGTTCCTCGGCAGCCAGACCCACAGCGTAGGGAGGGAGAGAGAAAGAGAGGAGGGCATACACACACACACACACACACACACACACACACACACACACATCACAAACAAGCAGGTCATCCGAGGAGGACCGTCTGACCGTGACGGTACCCCCCCTCTAATGGGAGCCCCCGGGCGACCCACGAAACTTATCCGGGTGCCGGAAATCCCTCACCATACCATGGTCGAGGATCGCAGACCGCGGCACCCAAGAACGCTCTTCCGGACCGTACCCAGCCCAATCCACCAGAAACTGAAAACCCCTACCGCGGCACCTGGCATCCATTATGCGAGTAATGTCATATGCCGGGGCGCCAGCGACCATCCGGGCGGGCGGCGGGGGCCCAGGAGGCGGGCACAACGGGCTGGTCCGGACCGGCCTAAGTTGAGAAACATGAAACACATTGTGTACCTTCATGTTGCGCGGGAGGGCCAGTCGGACAGTCACTGGATTCAGGATGGCCTGCACAGAAAAGGGTCCAAGGAACCGGGGAGCCAGCTTCTTGGACTCGGTCCGCAGGGGAATAGTCCTAGAGGAAAGCCATACCTGCTGGCCCACCCGATAGGCCGGTGTAGGAACGCGATGACGGTCAGCGAGCTCCTTATTACGTCCGCACGTCCGCAGAAGAGCCGCTTTGGTTGCCCTCCAGATCCGTCGACAGCGCCTCATGTGTTGTTGGATGGAAGGTACGGCCACCTCGCCCTCCGTGATGGAGAGAAGCGGAGGTTGATACCCCAGGGAAGCTTCGAAAGGTGAGAACCCCGTAGCAGCCGACGTGCTGGTGTTATGAGCATATTCAGCCCATGCCAACTGTTCACTCCAGGAGAACTGGTTGGAGGAGACGACACAGCACAACATGGCCTCCAGCTCCTGGTTAGCTCGCTCTGCCTGACCAGTAGTCTGCGGATGAAAACCAGAAGACAGACTGACCTGAGCCCCCAGCTCTGCACAAAACTGCTTCCACACCCGAGCTGGGGCCCACGGTCTGAGACAATGTCCTGCGGAATGCTGTGAAGGCAAAAAACGTGCTGGGTTAGGAGCTGGGCGGTTTCCAGTGCGGTGGGGAGTTTGGCAAGGGCGACAAAATGGGCAGCCTTAGAGAAACGGTCAATGATCGTGAGTATGACGGTGTTACCAGAGGATGGCGGAAGGCCGGTGACGAAGTCCAGAGCGATGTGCGACCATGGCCGGCCGGGGACGGGCAGCGGTCCGAGGAGTCCTGATGGAGGGGAGTTCGACGACTTATTTCGAGCACACACCGGGCATGCTGCCACATATTCTCGGACGTCCTGAGAAAGAGACGGCCACCAGAACAACCGTTGCAAAAAAGTGATAGTGCAGTTCTTACCCGGATGGCAGGGAAATCTCACGGTGTGGCCCCAATGGATAACTGTACTCCTGGCCGCCGAGGGAACATACAGTCTGCCTTCCGGACCAGTTCCGGGGTCGGGTTCCTGTTGCTGGGCATCCCGGATCACCTTCTTGATCTCCCAGGTAAGAACCCCCACAATGCAGGAGGCGGGCAGAATGGGCCTCTCTTTCTCCTCCGGGTCGACATCAGATGCAAACTGGCGTAACAAGGCGTCCAGTTTCGTGTTCCTGGACCCGGGTCTGTACGTAATGGTCAGGTTGAATCGAGTGAAAAACAATGCCCACCTGGCTTGCCGGGCGTTCAGACGCTTTGCCGCTTGGAGGTAGGCGAGATTCTTGTGGTCGGTCCAAACCACTACTGGATGCTCGCTCCCCTCCAGCCAATGCCGCCATTCCTCCAGCGCCAGCTTGATGGCCAGCAGCTCCCGGTCGCCCACGTCGTAGTTCCTTTCCGCCTGGGTGAGACGACGGGAGAAAAAGGCACAGGGGTGCAGTTTACCGTCGAAGCGCTGTGAGAGGATGGCCCCAACCCCTGAATCCAAAGCATCCACTTCCACCACAAATGGCAAGGTGAGATCAGCTTGGGCGAGTATGGGAGCCGACGCGAACAGGCGTTTGAGACGGTCGAAGGCCTGCTGAGCTGCTGGAGACCACAGAAAAAACTGTTTGGGTGAGGTGAGTCGAGTGAGAGGCAAGGCTACCTTACTGAAGTCCCGGATGAATCGTCGGTAAAAGTTGGCGAAACCAAGGAAACTCTGCAACTTCTTCCGGGTCGTGGGCACCAGCCACTCCAGAACAGCTTTGATTTTTGCGGGATCTGCTCGCAATCTGCCCTGTTCAACGATAAAGCCCAGGAAAGAGACAGTGGAAACGTGGAACTCACACTTCTCTGCTTTGCAAAACAGGCGATTCTCCAGCAGACGGTGCAACACCAGCCTGACGTGCTTCACATGCTCTGTTTGGGTCCTGGAGAAAATCAAGATGTCATCAAGATAGACAAACACAAAGCGGTTAAGAAAATCTCGCAGAACATCATTAACCAATGCCTGGAACACAGCGGGGTAAGCCCAAATGGCATTACCAGGTATTCAAAATGGCCCAGGTGGGTGTTGAATGCTGTCTTCCACTCGTCCCCCTCACGGATACGAACCAGATGATAGGCATTGCGGAGGTCGAGTTTGGTGAAAACGGTGGCTCCCTGGAGGAGCTCAAAAGCTGATGCCAGAAGAGGAAGAGGGTATTTATTTTTGACCGTGATTTTATTCAGTCCCCGGAAATCTGTGCAGGGGCGTAGGGTCTTGTCTTTCTTTCCGACAAAGAAAAACCCAACGCCCAGAGGGGAAGTGGATGGGCGAATGATGCCAGCAGCCAAGGAGTCTGTTATGTAGCGCTCCATAGACTCACGCTCGGGCTTAGAGATGTTATAGAGGCAGCTTGAGGGCAAGGGTGCACCAGGGAGCAAGTCTATCCCGCAGTCATACGGGCGATGGGGCGGCAGCATTTGGGCCCTGTCCTTGCTAAACACCTGACTCAGGTCGTGGTAATCCGCAGGCACAGAAGACAAATCGGGTGGAGCGGGCAGCCCAGCTGGGTCAGTTGTCATGCAGGCAGGCACTGCAGAGCGTAAACACTGCCCGTGGCAATACGTGCTCCACCCAGTGATACACCCCCTAGCCCAGTCTGTGGGTTATGCTGCTGAAGCCAGGGAAAACCCAAAACTAAGGGGGTGTGGGGCGCCTTGAGGAGAAACAAGCGAATCCTCTCTGTATGATTGCCGGACAGGGTGAAAGTAATTTTTTGGGTGCGGTGAGAGACAGAAGCTAGTGTGCTGCCGTTAAGCGCCGAAACCTCGAGCGTTTCAGGGAGAGGGACGACTGGCAAACCTATCTTGAAGGCCAGAGCCTCGTCCACAAAACTTTGCTCGGCCCCAGAGTCAATTAGAACGTTACATGGGTGAATGCAGGAAAGAAACTGTAATTTCGCGGGACAGCTAAGGTGGAGAACCGAACTCGCAGGTGCACCCATCAGTATCCCCACCTTTACTGACGGGCAGACTCTTTTGACCGAGAGGGGCAGGCATCCGCGAAGTGCACCCTCTTCCCGCACTCAAAGCACTCACCCACCAGTCGTCTTCTTCTCCGGGTGAATCTAGTCCGCCCCAATTGCATGGGTTGCTCCTCATCAGCTGGAGAGTCGGGTTCCTCCTCCCTCCATTCCAGCGAGGGAACTCCCACGCCCCCTGCTGACCTCCGCCCATCTCCAGATCGCCTCCCAAACTCTCGCATATGGTCATCCAGACTGATACACAAATTCACCAAGGCACTCAATGATTTAGGTAGCTCTTTGGTTGCCAACTCACGTTTGATGTTCTCATTTAAGCCGTTCAAGAAGGCCCCTCGGAGTGCCTTCTCCTCCCAGCCGGCTTCTTTGGACAGGATCCAAAAATCCACGGAGAAGTCAGCCACGGTCCGCCGACCCTGTTTCAATGCAAACAAACGATGAGCAGCACTGTCTGGGTTAGACCCCTTATCAAATACACATCGAAACTTGCTTAAGAAGTTACTGTATGAGATAGAGGGCTGAGCGCTCAGCACCGCTTGAGCCCACTGCAGAGCCCTTACCGTCAGTAGCTCGACCATAAAGGTGATTTTGGTAATGTCAGAAGCATACGCTTGAGTCTGCTGCCTAAACATCAAGGAGCATTGAATCAAAAACCCCCGACATTTATCCAGGTCCCCGCCGAATTTCTCAGGCACCGGCAACGCGTGTTCACGTCGTGGCGGGGGTGGAGACGGCGGAAGGGGAGACGGCGGAAGGGGAGACGGCGGAAGGGGAGACGCCGCCGCTTCGTCAAGCAAGGCGATAGGTGGTTGTGGTTGCACAGGGCCCCCTTGTGGCTGAATGGGTGCCCTTGGTGTAGCGAGTAACATACCTTTTAGCTCCGATACCACCTGTAGTAATGCGGACTGCTCCTTGGCGACATGCTGCAGCATTGTCTCGTGTCGCTCCAATCGTTCAGCCTGAAGCGCGATTTCGCGCTGGAGGGGGGTAGAGTCCACTGAGTCCATTGCTGGCTGGATTGTTCTGTCACGGCTGATGGAAGGTATGGACTCAAGCGCGGAGCTCTGGGTTGAAGCAGACAGTGCGTTTATTTACAGTGCGTGAAAGATAGTCCTTAAACATCAATATATATATCCAACAATTGTCCTTTTTCTCAGTTCCCAGTCGTGGTGAAGGTGAGTTTCCCCGTGAGGTCTGTGTGCGCTCCTTCCGTGAGAGCTCCTTCTCCCGAAAACACCAGTGACTCCTTTACTCCACTCCTCCGTCCCGTACTTCCCTAATCTGAAAGTCGAGCAAACACAACAACGGGTGAGAAGGCTTGCCTGGCCACACGGGTGACAAGATCACGCGCACACTTAGCTACCGAGCTCCGAGTACAATCCAGCGTCGACTGCCGTCTGGACACATCGTTAAATACCTCCGTCTAGTGAGTAAAGATTAGCGACAGCTGGAGCCGAAGATTACACTTCCGGGTCAGAGATTGGCCTTTCTCACTCTCTCGGAGACACCGTTCCTCGGCAGCCAGACCCGCAGCATAGGGAGGGAGAGAGAAAGAGAGGAGGGCATACACACACATCACAAACAAGCACGTCGTCCGGGAAGACCGTCCGACCGTGACAATTTAACTGAATTTATTGTATAATATCTAGACTACATTTTGCATCCTTGACAAGGATTGGATTTTCCTGCTGCCTATTAGTAACGGTAACACAGGTTTGCCTCTCAGACATGCTAATTACCCACAAGTGGTTGATGCTTAAATATTATTTAATTTTTGTATGCGATAACAGAAAAGGAACAGTCTATTGATTTATGAAGTGTTCCGAGTATAATCTGTGTATAGATAGTGTGTTTTTTTTATGTGTTTGTTTTCTTGTTTCCTGCTGTTTGTCTTTATTAAACAATAGCACTCCCACATATTCATAGGAACACTTTACAGGGAAATAAAGTATAAACTAATAAATAAAGTGAGCTGACGGGAATAAAAGAATGCAAGAAAATATTTTAAATACTTAGAATTCTAGTTAAATTATGGTATTATGGCTAATTTAATTACTTAAATTTGATGCATGACAAATATATACAGTACTGTGCAAAAACCTTGTGCCAGCCCTCATTTCTTTATACTTTGCTTCCAAGGAGCCAGACTTGCTTGTAATTGTTTCAGTCCTTGTGAGCGATAGTTCTCCAGGCTGTCCATTTGCTGCTTCATCACTCATTTTCAGTTCAGTCCTTGTACATGACCATTTTGAAAGAAATTCTTTTTCTAAGTCAGCTACTTCACAGTGAACTGTGAATTATCCAAACATAAAAAAGATAAAAGTATTTCTGCCCCAACAAGATGATTCCCAAAGAGGTGTTAGCCATTTCCCATTTTCCTAGCAAAAAAAAGTCATGCTGTTTTTATCACTGCAGGATTGGAATACAAGTTCATGGTAAAATCTGTTGACCCAGATGCAACAACTGCAGTGACTAAGAATGAAAATGACCAAAAAGACGTTGTGAAATCTATCACCCATGACCTGCATGAACAAAGTATGGAAGAAAACATGGCAGACAACATGGGAGAAGGGCACCCACAAAACCAGACTGGTAAGAAACACAAGTAGCTGTTTGCAGGGTCAGCGCCTCTGGCCAAACACACAGATGCCCTAGATAGCGTGTGACCAAGTGTCTAGCTAAATAGCTGCATATATCAACCTTATGTGTAGCAGCTGTGATGCAGGCAATTAAAATGTGCTGTGTCCTGACAAGGACAAAGAAAACAAGCCTGCCTACATGTCTCTGATACTGTATCCATTCTTTAGTTAAACATTAAGGTAAAAGCACCAATGAACATGCTGAACATGTCTGATTAAAGGTGATGTGATTAGGTAATATTTCTTTATGTGCCAGGTCTGTGCCTTTTTTTTTTTTTTTTTAACCTTTTAGGACATCTACAAGTGATGCAAATATCCCAGAACTGCAACATACTCAGTTCAGACACATCTAGAGATCTGTGTTGTGATGCCATACCAGCTTACTTTTTCTATTTTTTCTTGTCAGTCTCACCACTGCAAGTGCTCTCCCAAAAAAGGCTAAGCAATGGACAGAAAAGGAAACCAAAATGTAGTAATTATTAAATAGAGTGCTATTACAGGGAAGCCACAAAGTTAAACCAAAAGTCAGCTTGTACCAGCAATCTCACATGCCGTGATGCTTATTAGCTAATACAGCCACGGGCAGAAATTGCTTTCTGCATCCCAAATTATTGTAATTCTTGCTTCAGGTACATAAACCAGACAGCTGATCAAAGTACAAGGCTGTCATTGCCCTGTGTCAATGTCAACTGGTTTATTTATTCATTTAAATCATTAAATATAGTACTCATCTGTTCCCCAAATAATGATTGTACAAGTACAGCTCAGCATTCACACCTAAATAAATATGGTGTTTATGTTCACTTGTTTTGTTGCACGAAATCTGATGTTTTACAACAAATAATTAAGATGGACAATATTCCTCTAGCGGATACTTACATAAACTTATAAACCTCACGTGAATAGCTCTTCTTATCTGTCCTGAAATGCTAGATTGTGAGCACTCAATGGATAAAATTCTTCACAAGGAATGAAGCATCTTTTTGTAAAAAAAAAACAAAACCCAAGAATGAAGGATTTTCTTCACATGTGGGCTAAATATTTTATTACTTTTGTAGTACAAACATTTAAAACTTTCGACTGCATACCTGTGGATGTATGCAGATGTCTAGGAGAGTGGGTAGTGGATTTTTTTGTGTTAAAACCAGATTGTTTTCATGAGAGGATGCCCAAGGAGTGAAAACGTGTAAGGACAGCAAGACAGTGGCGAGGTGTGCAGTTGGAGTGACAGATGGGTTCAAGGTAGGGATGGGATTACATCAGGGATCGGCTCTGAGCCACTTCTTGTTGTGACAGAGTTGAAGATGTTAAGATTTTTTAGGGAGGGACCAGGATGGACAAGATTAGAGACGGGTACATCAGAGCGACAGCTCAGGTTGAGCAGTTCGAAGACAAAGTTGGCAGGCTGAGATGGTTTTGGACATGCGCAGAGGAGGGATAGAGCACATACCAGACAAAAGATACTGAAGAAAGAGGAACAGAGGAAGTCCATAGAGGAGGTTCATGGAGTGTAGTGAAGGAGAACATGCAGAAGCAGAAGATTGGTGTCACACAAAAAGTTGCTTGGGATAGGGTGAAATGGAGGCAGATGCTCCACTGGTATTTTTGTATTTTGGTATTATTGAGTTTACTTGTGATTTAAATTTCATTGTGTATTTATAATCAGGGGGTCAGCTTGTGCTTGATTTCTTTAAAAGCCTCCTTTTCATGAAATCCACGTGCAAAAATCATTTGTTGTGATGAAGAATTCCTTTATGTAAGCGTCTCTCTCAGAACTGAGTGTTTATTGTTCACTTTCTGAATATAGTAAAACCCTACATTAGTGATGTTGTTTGATAAATCCAGATGAAGGGAAAGCAATACAGCAGGCCTTGTAGAACAAAAAGCTGAAGTGCTTCAAAGTTCGTTCCAGCTCTATCAATAATTTTTTAATGATACTTTTGGATTTCCCCTTTTATCGTTTAGCTTTAATGATAGCAGGATATGAATTCCCTCAAAAGTTTGTACTTTATAGCTGGCACGAAAAACAGAAAGTTGATGATCGGAAGGCCCAGAACTGTTTCTCGCTAATTTGCTGGATGAGCTAAAATGTCACTGGCACTCGTAATGTCCAGTGAAGGTGGTTCTTTGTTGTGTATCAGTAATTGCTTTTGTTTCTGGCTTCAGATACTCATGATGGAGGGACTGTGGAGTGGGGACAAAGGAAGAAGAGAAGGGTATATGGAAGAAACACAGCAAGTGAGTTACCAAGAAAACTGATGTTGTTTGTGTCTATTTCCCTCCTCTTTTGTTCCCTTTATTTGCTTTGTGTATCAAAACAAAATTATAAATTTGATGTCACTCAACACCCTTTTCATAGTAAAGACACTCGAGCTTTTTGAATGTTTTCACATAGACCTGGGAGAACCTGGGAGAAATATTAGCTTCCACAACAAGTTTTCAGTCATTTCAAAATACCCTTTTATCTGTTTTATTTCCCAGGGGTTGGATCGGTTACAGAAGGAAAATAAAGTTTAAGTTACAGCTAGGGTTGTCGCAACAGACACTGTATGATTAATATGGCTACAATTTGCACTAATAATCAGTTATAACAATAAATTTAAAAAGAAATAGTAATCATTATCAGTTACACTGTCCTTTATCGTCAGCACTAGTAGCTAAATAAACTGTATCCGGTCTTTAAGTGATGACGTGATGAATCCTGCTTCTGGGCCCAAACTACCCTGCGTTTAACAAGGCTGTTGTGTATTTAACATGTTTTAATGCTTTGTATCTTGTTCTATTTAACCTCAAAAAGCCCCTAAAAACAGTCAGTGATCACTATCGGCCTCTCTCGGTTTTTATTACCGCTATTCATTTTAAAGCTCAGTTTTTAAAACCTTACATGTAACTACAGCCCAGCCCATGCAGCAGTATATTAATGACTAACCTCTTATTGTGGATGGATTATCTCAGTTGCTCTCCCGAGTCCCGACTGAAGTTTGGTCCGTTTACAGCATCCTGCCATGCGATTGCATTTGTCTCTGACCATCGAGAATCCTCATGTTAACTTTTGAGTGGAAAAGAGTTAGAGTTCCTCCTCAAGCTTCACTGTTTATATTATGCTAACATAGCTGTGTCGCTAGCAATCACGTAGCACATCATTATATACCAGCTAGCCAAACTTCAGTAACCCTAAAAACATCACTGCTGTTTAGTTTTCTGTCTCCATTTATGTTGGAAGTGATAGCAGAGCTGTGCATCTTAATTTGTTTCCAAAACCCTGCAGTCAGGACATGCTGTATTATGTTTAGATGGAAACTAGCGAGCTAACTCCCTGCTAACGTCTAACTCCGTTAAATGTCATAAATTCTGTTTTCATGGATGCCTGGATGTTAAACTCAATTGTTACACCTGGTAGAGCAGAACGCTGATCATTTTATTACAGATGAAAGAATTTAGACAGTTTTTCAGCTCTTAGTGAGGCTGCAGTGATCGTTTGACTTATGGACCTGCAGCAGAGTTTGGGCCCGGATATAAAAGATGGATGTTTTAGGCAATCTTGGAATCTGCAGTTGTTTACAAATGGCTCCAAGAGATTCTCCTTATTAGATCTTCATTGAGTTCCTTGGACTTTCCCATTGTTAGTATTGATCAGTTCAATCAGTAGTGTCAAACAAATCCTTTTTTAAGCAGGGAAAACTACCAGTTGTAGTCAATCGTGATGACAACAGAGAATTTAACTGGCCTTGGCTTTGTCAAGTTAAGACATTGTAGAACTTATCACTTATTTAAAGATTTAAGTGAGTATATGTATATATTTGATCCTGCGTGTATACTTTGATCCCTGCCTGGATGACAGAAAAATCCAAGCTAAATTCAAATGTGTGTGTGAACTTCTGACCATAACTGTAGTTAAAGTGAGTATACACTCAACAAAACATATTCTGTGCACTTTGTTGAGAATCTAACACTTGTGAAAATAGAGTCCAGGCCACGAGTGCTGGTGTCTTGCAGGTTTTAGATGTGTCTTTGATCCAACACAGCTGATTTAAATGGCTAAAGTATCTCCTCAACATGTCTTGAAGTTCACCAGAGGTTTGGAAATGAACTAGACACTTGATTCAGATCTGCTGACCCTGGGTGATATCTAAAACCTGCAGGACACCGGCCCTTGAGGCCTGGAGTTCCCCCACCCCTGAAGTAGAGTGACTCCACAGCATGTCAGTTTGAAGGGCAGCTTTACGCTTTTCCTCATCTACCTGTTCTTTCATTAACAGACCGCTGCCTGGAGCCGATGTCAGAAGGAGCCTGTTCAGACTATTCTCTGGTCTGGTACTTCCACGCCCGATCGGGGGAATGCAGACCGTTTGTTTACGGGGGCTGTGGTGGCAACCAAAACAGATTCTCCTCCAGACATGAGTGCGAGGAATGGTGTGAGGCGGAGAGTCGAGTTATGGGGGGACCAATCAGATCGCGCAGGGAATAATCCTTCAAACAGTTAATCCAGTGACTGAAAAAAAATCCTGCTTTGAAGAGATTTTTGGTTATACAATATGAATGTGCGGATACTATAGATGCTATAAAAAAAAATGTACACCTCCACAGCCGCAGAACCTTGGAGACTGAGCCAGCAACCCCCAAACAAGATGCTTAATTTTGTACATAACTGTGTAAAATGTTATTGTTTTTGCATTTTGCATTGCTCTTATTTATATATTTTAACAGATGTTTTTCAATTTATTATATATGGATAATGGGATGCGATGTAGTCTAAATGTGAATGATTTTTTTCTTAATTTCACATAACATCTGCACATGTAAGTATGTTTTCTTGCAGCTGTGTTACTAAAATAGACTGACATTGACAAAGAGTTTGAATGTAAACGTGCCAAAAATAAACATTACTAAAAAAAAAAATCTTAAATCCACCTCACGATTTGTCTTTTTCATGCCAGCCTCTTTCATTTTCCAGCTCGCTATAGCGTATCTCTTTATATAACTGTCACCTTTCTTATGTTTTGTCAATCGCCCTACATCCTGTGTGGTGCAGAAATGAGAAGCTGATAGCTGACTGCCTGCTGACTCCTCCACCACTACATATGTTTCTTTGGCAGGGGGTGTTATGGGTCAGGCTGGGAGCCAGATGAGGGGCCAACAGGGGCCCAGTGTGGGAGCTCACGCAGGGGCTGTTTTAGAGGACTCTCCATCAGACCGACTCAGCAGTAGCTGGGGATTCCTGTGTGGGTGTTGATGAGGGGGCAGCACGCATTGAAGTTTTTTGGTTGTTGTTTTTTTCTCTTCTGGCAGTGTGACAGATGAAAATGCACGACACATTTTAGGCTCTCAAGTTGCCAGGTTGTTGCTCCTGGGTTCTTTCATATCTCTAATCTGTTTTTCAGGTTGGTTTGTAAAAATAGTGTTTTTCAAGTTGACAGAGGAGACAAGCCCCAAGAGGCTTCCTTCATATTAGTCACGATTCTGTACTCTGATTTACACCCACACGCAAAGATGCTTGATATGTCTACTTGATATTTTTAGACATAAAGAAATCTCATTATAAAATTAAAAATGTTTAATTTAAGCACAAGGCAAAAGAAATATTAAAACTTTCTTAAAGCATAAGCTTAATTTCATATTTAATAGTTTCAAGTTGCCATTTTTTTTCTTGTAGATTTTGCTAAACTCTTATGTAGACATTTACACTTTTTGAACCAATCCAGTTATAAAGGGACAAATAGAGATGAGGAAAAATAAACAACTTGCTTTGCGAAGACACATGCAGATGCAGGACAGCCTCACTACTTAAGGTTTTCTTAGGCCTTGTGAGCTCAGTGACAACTTAGCTGTTTTTTAATCTTTTCAACCTTTAACCTATAAGTATAAACAGTAGCAAGAAAGTGCTTTGTGGTCAATAGGCCTTCACTCCTAAGCAGAGCAACACAAACCAGCGTCAATGTAATAAATGTAGGATTTTTGTCCCCCTTGATGTTGAAGGGGGCATGTAATTCCATTTCAGAGATCACTTGCGGAGGAAGCTGGAGTGGGAGGAGGATATCTCATTGCCTCGTGTGTCACGGAACGCAATTACTCCAGCTGTGAAGACTTACATTCATATTAATGAAGGTGAGTGAAGTTGCTCATTAGACCCTGACCCAGCGCCCTTTGATGCCGTCTCCCCCTGTATGCTCTTTTTCATTCTGACATTGTAATGTACATCAACTCTGCTGCGTGTCATGTGTACACTCAACGGTAATTAAAACACAGTGCTCTCTAGAAAATCTCAGATATCTCTCGTCTCTTTTGAAGAAACATTTGTGAATCGCGCACAGAAGTTTTTATATGTGGTGTCACTCAACTTATTAAAACTTCAAATGGAACAAATGCTCATCTCTTTATTAATAGATGTGAAACTGATGTCGATGGAGACATCTGAAAGAGCAGGGAAACTTTTAAACTCTGCACCTTTATTCTTCATTCAGTTCTTCGTCTTGTTGAAATTAATATATAAAATGAGCTAAAGAGACAATATTGTATTTGAAGGACTTTAATTTGCTTTGATAAAGTGAAGAGTTATATTTATGACCTGTTCTAGAATCTACAGGTTTACATTTCGCTATAATGAACATACAATGATATATTCATTATAGAAAGATATTGTCTAAAACAGTGCATGTAATGTGAGCGCTTTCTACCTTTATATAATAAGGTTTAATACGCTTTAACTAATGACATTCATAGTTGAATATAACCAGATCAATCACCTTCTATGTCACTTTCTCTCTGGACCCGGGCTGCAGAGCATCTCAAAGAAAATCCAACTTTTCCAGTCCTCTTTCAGCTGACGGTGTGACAGCCCCACCTATGGTTTTTACGCTTGCAGGTTTAGATGTTTGGTTTTCTGTACCTGTGCTGGCTCCTCGTTCTTTCTATCGCCATCCTCTACCCAATTTGGTCTGATTGTTTTTTTTTATCCTCTCTGTTTTACCTTAACATCCTTTCATCACTGCAACCATTACTTTTTAATTACTTTAAATCATAAATGGATCCGCTCTTTGTGCAGCTTTAACAGCGGTAATTGGGAAACCTCTGAAGACACGCCTAATATTATAATGTGAGACAATTTCATTTAACTATTGATCCACAACCCAAACATATCCTGCCAAGTGCGCCTGAGATAAGCGTCAAATGCGCTCAGCTGAGAACAAACGTGTCAATGGGAGCTGTCCGTGGTGCTGATCAACCGCAAACCTGTCAGTTTCACGCAAATGCTACTGAATGACTTAAAGATGTTGGGACTCTTACACGCTACCGTGGAGCAGCTGCACATGAAACACTTTTTTTAAAGTCTGATGCGAGGCAGAAAAAAAAGTTTCAATAGTCGTGACGCCTTCGGTCCACCAACAGGAGGCCACAACTTTCTTCTTTTTTTTTTTCTTCATTCATCTACCTCATTGCTTCACAGCCAATGGGATGGCTCACTGCGAACCAAAATGTCAACGGGATGACGTTGTTGCTGGCGTAGGGCTGCGTTTTGATGGCTCTACTAAAAGAATACAGTGGGAATGGACGAGCAGGAGACGCTGCTGGTCAGACTGTGCGCACTGTTGACCTCCGCAAACAGTGTTGGTTCATCGGGATTTCTCATAATAACCTCACTTGAGGATTTCGCCTTCTTTGCGCTTTCTTTGAGGGGATAAGTGCTGCTTAACCTCTCCAACTATATTTAATACAAGTATTATTATAACTAAAGGATACGAGTGGTAAGTTGCACGAACATTATTGCTCACACGTTTGTGACCTTTATTAAATATTGTTTTTAGTTTTATGCGCTAAACTTCACATTAAAAACATTTGTGATCCATCGGACTTTAAACTAAATCCTGTACTCTTAGAGTAGATTTTAACAAGATTTGTTAGGGTACTTGTTAATATTTACTATTAATATGCAGAATGGGCATATTAGTAAGGTTTATTTTTGCATCTCAGTGAAGATGAAATTCACTGACATGCGTTGCTGAAGATTAGATGCGAGAAAAACTTCATATTCTCTGGCTTTCTTCACCTGTTTTGGTCCCAGAGGACACAGCATGCTGTCGTCCCTAAAGACCCTGCTGCTGTTCTCGGTCCTGTGCACACCGACCTCCAGCCTGTGCCTCCGTCTCTACCAGACGCGCCCCGACCTCCTCTGCGACGACCAGCTGGCACTCGGGGTCCGGAATGACCAAACTGAGCCTGGTTACTCCACTGGGGACGGCTGGGGGTCCCTCATGCAGTCCGCGGAGTATCTCTCCTCCTCATCCTCCACGTCGTCGTCCTCTTTCTCCTCTGCTGAATCCAGTCGGGAAAAAAGGACTTCAAGTCCCGCAAACTACCGCTTCTTGAGCCGGACCAAGCTCAGGGGCCAGATGCTCCGCAACAGCAACAAAGGGGACCGGAGGAGCAGACTGACCCTGTCCCTGGACGTCCCGACCAACATCATGAACGTGCTCTTTGATGTGGCCAAGGCCAAAAACCTGCGAGCCAAGGCGGCGGAGAACGCGCGTCTGCTGGCGCAAATTGGACGGAGGAAATGAAACATGGACAACTTTCATTTAACAGACAGCCATGACCAGTGTTGGCCTCTCAAAGTCTAATAAATTAGCATCTCTTATCATCCAAGTAAACATCCATTTGTTTCTCCGGGGGAACGATGCCGTGTTTAATAATACACAGGCTTTAAATTCAGCTGTTCGCCTGTAAAAGGAAATAATCTCACGCCTTCTTTTCTCCAGATCAAATCACTGAGACCATTTCCAACAGCAAAGGCACGTTTACTATATATATATATATATATATATATATATATATATATATATATATATATATATATATATATATATATATATATATTCGTAGGAAAGGGAACTTGTGAAAAAGTAGATAACTACTGAAAAATGTTTTAAAACCAAGGTTAAATGTTACAGAAGATATGAGCGGATAAATTAGCTGTTGCTGCCTTCTTTTAAAAGTAATTGATTGATTTATTTTTAGTTCATTAAATATGTTTATTTATGCATTTATTGTACGTGCGAATAATCCACCTATATTAAATTACAAACTTTCTCAAGTACTTTGTTATAGCAGACAAACAAAATGACTAAAACACGTCCTCGGTTTTTCGGTTAAATTAATGTTTAATGTGATTGTTTTGCCCAGACTCAATAAATTCAAATAACTGGACGCGATGAGCAAAGCAGCTGGTTTTGCTTACAGCAATAAATAAATAAATATTAAAAAATGCAGCACTGTTGCATAATCTAATAATAATTTGATGTCCTGAGAAATGTTTTTTTTAATTCCAGGATATGTGGGTTTTTTTTCTTTTTCATTCTTCATTTATTTATTTAAGAAGCTTTGTGTTTAAAAAAAGTATGAATTCAGATTCAAGTTTTGAACTTTGAATGTGGCCGAAAAACAACACTGAGAAAAAAAAAATACTGTACAAATCATCTGCAAGGTCATGAAATACAGTAAAATGCAATTGCATGGGAATGTATGTGTTCATCAGATGTCTCTTATTTTTATACTCAAAATAAAGGATTATTTTTCCTCAAATAAAGCAGGTGTAACGACATACATTTGCCTCTTTATATGCAATATCTATATCACTGAGATTCATTATATATTCTTAGAAAAGATCTTTTCA